TCCAGACATTTTTAAAATGCGTCAAATGTTTCAGCACGACAGGAAAATCAATTCAGAAACATGCGAGACAGGAAAACAGTCACAGTTAATTAGTAATGTGCTTTGTTTTGAGCGGAGTTACTATGAATGGTTAAAAACAAAAAAACAACTTCCCTTTTGGTGTTTTCAAGAATTCTCAAACAGCTAAGAATGAATGCTGTAAAAACCACAACCCGACCAACATTGGATTGGTTTTTTTGCGGGGGGGGGGGACAAAATGAGTTGCATGTGAAAGACGGATGTTGTCGTGTCAACCGCTGATTACTAAAGCTGTTTTTTACAACCTCAAGATGAGCTTTTTTTTCTATCACCATCGTAGCTTTTGAGAAACCACCCATCACACGGGGGTGGATCTGACTGTGAAACTGCATGCTCAATGGCTGATGACTCGTCATTCACACGGTGAAGAGTACCTTACTTTATCCTCCTTTTTCACTCTACTGGCTATCATCATTTACAAAGTGATCTCCATGTTTTACTCAGTAACACTTAAAACTAGTGATTGATGTCAGCACAAAAGTGCTTACTGAGGTCATGGTGACTGGGAGCGGAGGAGCGGGGAATCTCTTTGCAGCTAGTGGAGTTGCCCCCTGCTGGTCATTAAGAAGAATGCAGGTTTAGAAACTTTCACGTTGGCTAACAGCATGTGATTGACAAGTCAGCAGCCAATGAGCTGGAGGTTTCACAGTCACATCCACCCCTCCTCATCGCATATGTTTTTTGAAGCTAAAATGGCAATAGTGAAAACGCTAACCTCAAGGTTTCAAATTGAGTCTTCACAAACCACCGGATGGTTCATGGTAGCTATGTCCATCTTTATGCCTGCAACCTGTTTCCATCTTTTATATACAGTTTGTTGGCCATTACTGATTACAGTAGCAGCAGTATTGTAAACAGTGGAGTTGGAGCCACAATTACAAGATGAGCCCATTTTAAATTACTTCAGGCATCTATTTGTAATACTTGTGTTTTCTAAAAAAAATAAAACTCTATGTGTGAGTTGTCTTATGTTTATGAGTGAAAATGTGGATAACTACGTTTTTCTAATGTGGGATTGACTTTTACTATTTAAAAGACCCCTGTTTTTGACTACTTTTATAACGAATACAAAAGTAATATAAAGAAAACCAACACTGTCACCCAACAGTCCTGATCATTACTTTAACACATTGCCCTCACTGTTTTAAAATACAACCACAGATGACAAATTGAACATTAACTTGCTCTTCAGATTGCTGTTTTTTTAAAACCAACCCTACAGGCCACTGAATATTTATTGTGATAACACCATTAAATATCTGAAAAGCATTCAGCAGCTCTCAGCGTAGCCCAGATAGAGCACAATAGAGACACATTAGGCGAATATTTCTTCCTGTATATGTCTAATGGAATCGCAGGCTTGGCTGTTCAGTACAAAGTCCCCTGCAGTCATGTCAAAACGGCTAACAGGTTTAAGTAGAGAAGTCTGCACTGTTTAGTCGTCATTGCTAGTATTGGGTCATTAAAATTTAAATCGTTTCAAATAATTGTTGTACAGTCATTGCATCCATATCAATGACGTAATGATTTGTCTGATTCCCAGTTCCCAAAGAGGGTCTGAAGAACCAGGCGGCGTTCGAGGAGATGAGGGTTAATTACATTAAAGAGCTCCGGCGTTCGGTGGGAAAAGCAACCAACAACTCCGGCCAAACCTGGCAGCGCTTCTTCCAGCTCACCAAGCTGCTGGACGCCATGCATGATGTAAGTACCCTTGACCCCCCCCCTTTGCCAGTTGCATACAGTACTGCCTTCCCTTGGCAGTCTAGTTATGCACTTTAGGGCTCTGATACAACTGGAAATGTTCTCAGTGAAATGGCAAAATAGTGGATTTGGATAATGTGTTTACTTAGCAGTTCAATGGTGCCGTGGCTTGGAATAAGGATTATTACATCCCATTTTCTCCCTGAGGGAAGGTTATTTTGGAAAAGGCAGTGATGAGGCTCATATTGGTGAATGGAACAAAAGGGGATCGATATCAGCTTGCAGTTTATTGGAGTTCACACTGGTCACCATAGCAAATGTGCAAAATGAGGGTTTTTTTGTTTTTTTTAAATGCATGTGTCAACAAGTGCGTGGGAGAATGACAGTGTAGGCACAGCCTCTGGAGGTGAGCGTTAGCAAGAGAGAGCAGTCATAGAGATTCAACGACCCTAATGACTGAGTGAATAGGGTTAGTGCTGGGCAGATGACCCTTCTTTTAAAGAAGGGCTGCCCAGACAAAAATCAGTGGTGCCCCCAAGTGGTAAAGACAATCAGTGAAATTCAGTTGCAGTTTACACACACACACACACACACACATACATATATATATATATATATATATATATATATATATATACACCCCCCCCAATTTTTGCACATGTCGAGGAGCGTGTCAGGCTACATTTCACTGTGTGTTATACTTGTATAACTATGCATGTGACAAATAAAGAACCTTGAACCTTAAAAAATATACATGTACTATACATGTACAGTACTGTGTGAAAGTATTGCGTCTTTATATTTTGCTTCCAAGGAGTCAGACTTTCTTGCAATTTTTTAAAGTGGTCTTAAGCAATTGTTCTCCAGGCTTTCTGAACTTCCTTTATTGGCTGCTTTTTCACTCATTTTCAGTCGGTACAAGAAGTGGACTGAAAATGAGTGTACCTGTGAATAATTCAAGTGTAAAACACAAGAGATGAACCAGTTTGAGGTGTATCCTTAGGCACTGTCATGAAGCCATTCTCAGTGAAAGGAAACAGATTACACTTTCAGCACGTCTGATGAAGAGATGAATCCAAATATGACATTTATGGTTAAAGTCATCAGTATATATAGAGAAAGTTAAGAGAATGGGCCCAGCCATGGTTTTGGACTGCATTAGAGCCAGTGGTGTTGGGAATCTTGTCAAAATGTATGGAATTCCAAACTCAGAAAAGTGGAATCGTTTTTCTAGCTAAATATAAAGAAATTAGGGGTGGCTTAAGACTTTTGCACACCGTTGGTAAGTAGGAAATAATTTAGAATTTAGAAAATAAAGTGAAAAAAAAACCCAGTTATGTTTCTAATAATCATATTTTTCTCTCTGTGGTGTCCAGTTGGTGGGGAACTTGTTGGACTTCTGTTTCTACACCTTTCGTGAGTCCCAGGCCCTGAAGGTGGAATTCCCCGAAATGTTGGTGGAGATCATCAGTGACCAGATACCAAAGGTGGAGTCAGGCCTCACTCACACGATCTACTTCCACAAGAAGTGACTCTTTACACAGATGGGACAGAAGCGGCATTAAGAACTCGAAAAAGAGGAGCGAGAAAAGTTCAGGGAAGAGAAGAAATGTGCTGGGAAGGCCCGTCCTGCTGGCCCGCACCGTGTCGCTCAGTATGCCAGCGTCCTCGTACTGGATGGAAAGATTTAGAAAAAAAAAAGAAAAAAAGAGAAAGTTTGGGGGAGAAGGTTTTGACCCTGCAGTCACCACGAGCGGTTTAGAGCTGCGGATAGTTTGAGAAGCCGAGCGTGACACACCGAGAAGGACTTGTGACAAATGTGACAAAGCATCCCGAAGTACACCAATGTCCCCCTGCCCCAAAGACGATAACAGTATTTTCTATGGAGATAAAGCCATACATTTCTTAGGGCGCACTAGATACATTCACTACACACACACACAAACACACGTAGAGGGAAATCGACACACTTAACTGTCCACATGCCTTCACACAAAATGCACAGGTGCACTCCACATGCACTAGAAATGGGACTCCCTTACTTACAAATCTAGAGAAAAGGTTTTGTTGCAAATATTAACTCTGGCTTATGCAGTCTTTCACAGATAATAGCACTATGAAAAAAAATTATGCCAATATTTACATTTGCTTTGCAGTGTAGTGACGAGACTGCAGGGCAAAAAAAAAGGACATTAATGAGGAGGCACAGAAAATCTAGACTTAATAGACAAAGGTCTATTTGAATATATTCCAAGGGCTATACAAGGATCATCATAAGCTGAATAGTCGCATCAAATTTAACAAGGTTCAATTTTAAAATCGGTATCATATAAGCCATCGCTGACATTTACATGCTGATTTTTCTTTTTCAAAGTTAAAATGTGTAGTCAAACAATCAAAACTAATATGCAAAAGTCCAAAGCTAAAGCTGTTTTGAAACACAAACGTCTCTCTCTCGCGTAAAAGAAAGCTTTGCACGTGATGCTCCCATGTCATAAAGTCACTATTTTAGAGGCATGGTGGTGTAGAATTAAAGACAATATTGACGAGAGACTTCGTACCTTTGTGCAGAAATGGTCAGGAGCGCGGCGGGATGGAAAAACATAATGCATTTACGGAAACAATTTCAGTACAGTCCGCTGGTAATGGATTTGACTGAGGTGCATCCATAGTAATTGCTGTTATTTGTGTTATCTCCAGAGCAGCTGTCCAAATGTCTGTTTTTACTCACAATGAAGCGAAACCAGCCCTTTGTGAACCGACACTTATCTACTCTTCCCAGAAAGAATAAAAAGCATTTTTTTTAAAGAAACGTGTGTTGCAAAGGTTTTAAGTTTTTGACAAGCCAGTCGTTTTACATTTAAGGTGCTTCGTTTCTACAAAAGCCAGGCAAAACATAACATGTACAGTAACTTGGTAGAACAGTCCATGCAGTACGCCACGTGGGCTCGCAGTTCAAACACGCATACTCTGTAAAGTCGATATAATCCAAGACGGAGCGTTAACTCTTTGCAGTGCTTACAGTAAAAACAGCTAACGTATCAAACCCCAGGCAGATGTGTACAGGTATTAACTTCTTAAAAACACACTCTATTCAGCTGTTGTACAGAAGACGTTTTTGAGGTACACGACGACGAGAGCTTGATGAAGATGTGTTGGTATGATCACTTTTCCCTCACTTTGCTTATTTACTTTTTTTTTTCCTTCTTTTTTTTTTCCCCCCTATCTTCGGGCCAAGTGCTACTATTTTAAAAGCATGGCGAGGCCCAGTCATCTGGACCATTAGCTCGTCTCACACCCCACTGGTTTCCGGGTGGTTGTGGAACACTACTATGATGCTACTGAAAAACGACAGAGTCGCTGGGGAAGAAAAAGAGTGCGCGTGTGTGCGAGGGAAGGGTGGGGGGGTGGGGGGTTGGTGTGTGAATATTACTATTCTTTTTTTCGTGCCCTGTAAGTGTGTATTTACATGTGTGTATGGAGTGCGTGTGCGTTTTTTTGTTTTGTTTTTTCCTCCTGGCAAGCATGTGCATAGATGATCTGCTCTTTCGGCGTGGGTATTATGCATTAATGTTATAGGATTATCCTATTTCCACATTTAGATTTTTTTGCACAGAGAAGATACAATGTGAAATGAGGCGTCAGTGCAGCTCGTAGGAATTCTCTGTTTCGATAAGCAACTGTGATAATGCGGGGTGGGGGAGGGGAGCAAAACGTTCTGCATGGTCACCCCGGCCTAAAGTTAGAGACGACATCATTACCACATCAGGGTGGCCGCGTGCTGTATTTGTGGCCTCGTGCTCAACCGAGGTCTCGCCTGTGTTGTTATTTGCTTTGAAGTTGGCATAACAGAGTAAGTAGGTAAGTAACTTTACTTACTTATAGCCCTTTTGCACTTGTACCTACTCAGCTTGACTTGACCCGGTTTTTAAGGGTTTTCGAGTAGGTGGTAGTACCTGCTACCAGGTTCTTTTTTTAGTACCTTCTCGGCGGTTGTTCTGAGGCTAACCGAAAATGTTACATCAACAGGCCACATGGCACTGATTGCCTAGCCAGTGGCGTCATTCCACAAGTCATGACAGCGACTCCTTCACCAAAATTTTTGAAACTCAGCAAGGAGAAAAATGGCTACACAAACAAACAACACTGTGGTCCTCGAGTTTGACAAAAAGAACTAGACCGAGCAGCAGGTAGCTCATCCTCCATTGTTGTGTTGTGTTTGTGTCCTGGGACTTACTGTACTGTATTTGGTACTCGATTGTAATGGAAAACAACCAAATTTGAGTCAGTCGAGTTGAGCAGGTACTAGTGGAAAAGGGCTGTTACTTACTTACGTCATTAATTGCTTGGACGTTGGTGTAAAAAGATAGTAAGTAAAATCAGTCAAGGTGATTTTACTTACTTATTTACATAACTGCTTGGAGGTTGGCATTGTTGGGATCACGACTGTCATTCGATACTGTATTTTTGGGGGAGAGGAAAGCAAAGCAGGGCATTTGAACTTTTTGTCATTCCCAAATCCGAATCCTTTTTCAGTAATTCACAAAGAGGTTGGTGTGTGTGTGGGCCCGGTTCACTCATGAAGGCTAGGATTCTTGTGTTTTGCCATAAACGTTATAATAATTTCTCCTGCGCAGTCATTATCATGCAGTACCCGATTCGTCTTTGCCGTGCCCTTACGCTGATCTGTCACTGTTTCTTTATTTTGCTTCTTGTCTTTTTTCTTTTCTTTTTTCTTTTCAAGAATTCAAAATTTAAAAAAAATAAACTGTCTAAAGGTTCATAGGATGAATGGGAAAGTATTTTTGAGAGAATTATATTTTGCTGGAAAACAATATTTAAGTACTTTGTCTAAAAACGATATCCTTTTTGTAAAATGAAATGTTATTGCATGCTTTTTGATGAGATGTTTACATTGTATTTAAAAAGAAAAAAAGGGAAACTTGTGCCTTTTTATCTCACCTGATTTACAGTTTTACAGTATATATTGTAAATAATACAGCAAGTCCTTATGTTGAGTGTAGTATAAAACATTTCTACTTTAACCATCTTGTTGGAATATTCGAGAAAAAAAAAAGACAAAAACAAACAAACAAAAAAAAATTAATGTGTGTTTCCCACTCGCCATGTCCTGTGTGTCGGATCACAGAGGAGAATTTCAAGAAAGGGGTTGGCACCAGGCAAAGGGCCAAACAGAGAAATGAATGTATCATACATCGTGAGAGACTTATGGAACTTACTACCTGAATGTTAGAGAGAGAACATTTATTATCTTCTTATTAAGTAAAATTATTTGATTCTGCATCTTTTTTCTTTTTTTTACTTTTTGCATTGTTGTTCCCCGACTCATAGAAAAAAAAAAACACGATTTAAAAAAGGATTTATTTTGTAACGAGATGTATGAAGTGATGGATCGTTGTTGCTGTTGAAATGATTTCCTAATCCGTGGCGGTAATTGTTGATGAGCACCACAATAAAAATCAAGAAGTCACAAATTATTGAAACTGCGGCTATGTGACAGAACATTATTTTTGGCTTTGTGCACACACTGAGAGAAGCTGCGGTTTACCCGACCATCCAGCCAATTTCAATTATGACCCCCCCCTTTTTTTTTTTCTTCTGGACCTTCAAATTAAAAGTATCAAAAAATGCAAAGATGATGATGTTATCAAGCTCCATCTCCTTTATCATCCTCCAGATATATGATCTGGCTATTTTTTTGATAAATACTTTTGGATATAGTTTAGTAGGACACGCACTTGTTCGCTTGCTTGCAGAGAGTTAGATAAGAAGATGAGCGTCACTCCAGTGTTGAAATCAGAAATCTGCTTAGGCTGAACATAAAGACTGGAAACAAGAGGAAATAGCAGGGAATGGTGTCGTTTGAGGCGCCGTCAGGCGGGGCTCAAGACCACAGTGTTTGAATATGAGCCACTGCTGGCATAATAGGAGAGGAGACAGACCTGGCACTCGCACAACGGCAAAGGTCACGGTAGAAGCATCATTTTTAGAGGTAAAACCTTTTTAAAATGTTATTTAGGGGCAGATTCTGCAATTCATTTTAAACACTTATGGAGGTTTAATGTCCCAGTGAGCATTCAAATTCAAAATAACTGCCCGGATCAAAGTGTGGAGGCATTTGTTGAAGGGCTTTGGCGCCATCAGTGGTGGAGTTGCATTGTGGCTGATGTGAGAGTGTCTACAGTCAGTCTGGTAAATTTTGGGGAAATTGAATTCTAAAACAGCCGACTGAGAGCGGTATCAAAACATCTCATCTCCTAACTCTCCGCTAAAAGGGACTGTAAGTGTGTTTCCCCCAAGTGTCGAGGCAATGCTTCGGAGGAGCAAGATTAATGTATTGTTTACTTAATGGTCATCAATCACCGCCCACTGCAAACAATAAAATCAACCCTTACCCCCGTACTTGGGGGAGCGGCTCTATCTTCAAAGCTGTCCTAAATGAACTCCCTCCCTGTCGGCTCGGGATAACTCGGGATATTTGTCTGGTTTTTTTTTCTTCTTTCTAACTGCAGTGTCACAGTACACTTTGGTGGAGTCACTGTACGTGGAGTCCCATCATCACCATTCTCTGTTCACAATAATGATTCGGGTGTAGAGAGACTAAGCCATATCTCCACAGCCATGGCAGTGCATTTTCTTATAAATATATACAACATTTTTTTTTCTTTTTTTTTTTAGTTTCTTTCTTTTTCCAATTTGAAAATTGACTTTTTTACTCAGATGCTTTGTATAATAATTCTCAGCAAACATACAGTAGACAACCCTCACTATAAACCAATAAAACATCTTCGAAAGCAGTTACTACTGTATATCTTGATGCAGATATTGCCATACTTGTGTTTGCAAACTATTGCAAGATTCTAATAAAAAAACCATTAAATTGAAGCATTTGTTGTAATTTATGGGTTGTGTGCAACTGTGTGCGTGTGTGTGTTTTAAAGGCGTGTGCGATGAAATCTGTACCAATGAGAAGAAGCTAGAAAACTCGTTTACATCACGGGATGCATATAGCCCACTTTGATCTTAAGTGGGCCGGACCATTGAAATTCACTCTTTCTGTTAATATATAGTTGAACTGAAATTGTAAGTAAATAAATGTGCAACATAACATAAAAAGCTCTGGCTTGTAGTTGCCTGTCCTGTGATTAAACTACATTTTTACTCTGGACCAACAAGAAGAAAAAATGAAAAATGATCAAGGGGAAGATCTTTATTAGGAGGAAAAGGTCTGTGCCGGACCGATTCTGCCCCCCTGGGTCTTGTATTTGATACCCCTGCCCCAAACTATAAGAGTTGATGGATGTATTTGAAACAGCTGCATTTGGTGGGCGGTGACATTAATAAGGTAAAGAAAACAAAACAGAGAGAAGCATCAGCAGGTACGCCATTCACTAGGAGAGGAGATGAAGAGAAACAGAAAGAGGGAAGAGTGAATAATGACAAAAAGGCAGCGGGCAAGCGTGAGCCTTTTACAGTAAAACGACGCCTGTGGAGAAAAATCACCATTAACCTTGTTAAAGGCTGATCTGAAAACACGCCTGCTTTGCCAGACTGTAGAGCAGACAGTATTACTTTTTTTTTTTTTGCTCATTTTCCTCCTCCTCCCTCTCTCTCTCTCTCTGTGAATCCACAGCCCTCTCCAAATCTCCCCCAGATTTCCAATTGCTTTCACTTGTAGTCGTGCCAGATAAACAGAATCTATTGGATCAGGCTGATTTCACGGCTGCACCCGCACACATGGCGGCTTCTGTGGCCCACTTTCTCAGCTGAGGAGTCCCCCCCCCCACCCCCTTTCCGCACACACACGAAAACACACTCTTTCCTTTATGTTTGAAATTCACTTTCCTCCAAATTCCCACTCAGTTTTCAGCCCCGGTAATACACCGAGTCTACGAGTGTGAAGCGTGATGGAGACACAGGAAAGTATTAAGGCAGTTGTGCCATTTTCTCACGGTTGTAGGTAAACTGCTGCGCTGCTTTGATCTGGGCTGAGTCACGGCATGGTGTGTGTGTGTGTTTTGGGGGCTGAAGGACACTGCGTCATGGGAGGTAGAGGACAGCTGGCACACAGCCGGTGGGGGGCTGGGATGTGAGAAATGAACACATCTATCTGGATTTTTTTACTCACACGCATCAAGTAAGTCGACATGGTGACACTGATGTATACATCACCCCAGTCTGATGCACACTAATGAATAATGCATGCACAGGTAGGCTGACCTCAATCTTAAGTGGCTGTGGAGGGCAGCTCAACAAGCCTCAAATATGAAAAGCCCAACGCTGTTCCTATTCAACAATTTCACACAATGACGAGAACTAATAAATGAATGGAGCTTAATTGATTTTGAAACTACTAGAGCCTCAGTGAATCACTGGCTGAGGCAGCAGGGAGCAGAGATGAGCCTAAATACTACTGAGAGAGAGATAGGTAGGCAGATCGTTGCAGCATGGCATGCTTTCTGACTGACAGTCCAAAGAGTGTGAGAGGCAGGCAGGGCGCACGTCTATGATTCAGCAGTATTCTGCTGGAGGGAAGATGATGAAGAGCCATAGGAGTGGGTGGCAGTGGTGGTGGCGGTTGTGGTAGTTGAGGGACTATTGTACCCATCTCATTAGCTATGCCTCATTTCATAATGTTAATGTTACAGTTGCTTCAGGGGGGCTGGTGGACATGTGTCACCCACTAAAACCACTAAAAACCTTTCTTTAAATGGACAAAGCCTGCATGTGTTTACGCTGCTAAACAGCGCATCAGCCCGTTCACTGGAGGCCTGAGTGTAGCAGGGGGTGCACTGATGGTGATTATGTAACAGAGGCCGAAGCTCAGGGTCTTGAGGCCATTTGGTGTGTTAATTACACAGATGTAGTCTAAGAATTAACATGCGTGAGGCTGAGATGTTAATGGATCAGGGAGTGGTGAGGAGGGTGGATTAGTGTGTTTTTCCTCCATAAAAGATTAACATCTATTTTTAATCCCTTTATGGAAAGTTTTTTTGGAAGTAGCTTTTAGTCGGAGGGGCCCAGCACAGGTCAATATAAAGAGGAAGGATTACATTACACCACAGGGTTCAGTGTATGTGAAGTGGCTGCAGGATGAATCCGCATTTCATCATTTTATTCTTAGACTCTGTGGGAAACTGGGAGCCTTTTCAGTGACACAATGGATGAATCAGCAAAAAAAACCACACACGTTTCACATTAATAAAGCTGCACATTTCCCAGACAAAGATCTAAACGGCAAACTTTCGTTATAACTCTCAGTCGGCACAATACGGCCATGAAATGTGTGTCGTTTAATAGGCTGTTGTGAGATTAGTCCAATAATTAAAGAAACTGTTAAAGACCTTAATTTGTAAAAAAAAAAAAAAAAAATTAAATAAATCATTTATCGTATTTTTTCATGACAAGAATATGCAATGCAGTGAAAGAACAAAAATAGATATCTTTATTTGTTTAACATTGATCAAGAAGTTACCCAAAGGTAAATTTTAAAAAAGAGAGAGAGAAAAGCCAAGAACCTTTACAAACGTCATAAATCATTGTCTTAAATTATTGTAACCTCAGCTGCAAACACAAACAATCAGCTGAACCAAAGCTCTCAGACAAATGAAAGTGTTTCGCTGAACAGCTGAAGGATAAAATGTATTATGGTGTGCGCACATGCTAAAACCAAATCTAAATGACAACCTAAAAAAACCATCCATTACTTAGCGCAGTAAATATACTTGGTTGTAACTCTTTAGGGCTTTGTACACTCGATGGATGCGAAACGGTACAAATATTTCAAAGTACTGCATTTCGTGGTCTCGTTCACAATAAAACACACATTTCCGATAAGTTAATAAAGAACTAATAAAAGTCAAAATTCAGACTTTCTGGGAGTGTCTCATTCCTTTGCTCTGAAGAACCTGAGTAATGTTGAACTCGAAAAACAACAAACCAGACGGAGGATTTGAGAAGAAAAACACTTGGTTTCGATCACCTGCCGAAATCGACTGCGGCTGATTGTCAGGTGTTAGTGTTTAACCCAACAGGTTCCATCGGGTGGCTAAGAGGCGTTTCTGAAAGAGTTCGGCAGCAACGATACGGCACTGTAAATTAAAATGAGAAAAAAAAAGAAGAACAAAACAAAACGTGCAATCAATGCGCCAATTACACAAAATACAATTACATCAGCAGTGTGCCTCCTTTTGCATGTCTATTCTCAAAAGAACAGAACATCGCAAAAGCGTATAAATGAAAAGTTCGCCCAATCGTTTTCATACATACCCGTACGCATGTTTACACCGGGTGCTTTGACTGTGAAGGCACAAAGGGTATCTCAAACAAATTTGCGTGGATCAATGTCAAGGGCTGTGGCGGGTTGTGAGGGGGTCAATGTTACAGTGGTTTTGAGTGCTGTCATTCTACTTTGTGGTTTCTGAAGATCACCCTTTGACTTTGAGCTCATGGATACCATGTATAACAGGGCAGAGGGCGCTTAGAGAGACGCTTCTCCTCTGGTTCTGCTAAGTTCCTTGGATAGAGGCTACAGCATCTTCATATACAGCAGAGCACTGGAAGTGCAATCCCATTTTGCAATTACAATTGTCAAAAATAAGGTGAACACTTGGCTAAAATGAACAAACACATAAACATGCTTGCAAATGCATTGTAAAGTCTACTTGCCAGCAACAAACAAACAAACAAAAATGCACCAATAACATCATATGGTGTTGTCATTACTGATTGAGAAAATTCAGGGCTTCGATTGAACGAGGCTATCGAGGCACGTGCATCTTCCCATACTTCCCTCGGCGAACGTGATGAAATGTCCATAAATATTTCTTTTTGGTTCTACAGCATCTCCACATAGTTTTCAGGGATGAGGCCCCTCTTCCCCTCCAGCTCCCCCTCCAGCCAGCCCGGCTCCCTCGACTGGGTCACTGCAAGAGAGGACACAGTGTCACTGACAGGGGGGGGGAACAACAGCATGGGAGGGGATGAGGGTGGGAGAGAGACAGAGGACACTGGGCCTCCAGTGAGTACACTGTTAAGAGAGTGTGGAGGGCAGAGGTTTAAAGGAGGATATAGCGATTATTCAGTTACAATAAACTACACTGTGACCCTGTTAGCAGGACAGATATGTCAGAAAGCAAATCCCAGGCTGCAAAATAGACCATACAAATTTACTTTAAATCCAGTGGTCATTTTGTTTTCTTTCGGCCCTTTCAGTTTAGTCATTTTACTCAAAACTGAAAGAAATAAGAACTTAAAAAACAAAAAAACCTTTCATATGGGTATAGACAAGTTAAGTCATTGCCAAACCTCAAAGCAAAACAGCCGCTTTTAGAAAGCTTGCTAAAGTGAAATAGAAACTAATATCTCACTTTTTCCTGAACAGAATGGGAATTTCAAAGACAATTGTTGCGATCTCTGTGACATCTAGTATCTGACGTCACCTCACCATATACATTTTATCTGTTGAGTTGTGGTGGCATTAAATGAAGTGCATAATGAGTGGTGTAACAGTTAGTTGTGAAAAGGGAAGCAAATGCAGAGGAGCTTTAAATCTATGTTTGTTAAACCAGCGGTCCCCAATCCCCGGGCTACGGACCGTGAGTCGTTTGGTACTGGGCAGCGAGAGTTGAGGCTCAGGTATGAAATTCATGGTTTTCGGGGTTTTTAGTGTTATTTTTTAATCATTTTTATCGTTAACTCGGTTTCCCTGTGTCTTTTCTCATGTGTTATGAATAAATCTTCTGTTTTTTGGTAACAGTACTGGTTCTATTTTGTTGTATTTATCCGCGACACCTTAAAGGCCGGCCGTGAAAATATTGTCAGACATGAACCGGTCCGTGGCACAAAAAAGGTTGGGGACCGATGAGTTGAACGACCAGCAGGGGGCGACAGCTGCGGCTAGAAAAAAAAAAAAAAAGCCCAGCTAAATAAAAGTCCATGAAAACATGCCTCTCAGGTCTCTTACTCTGTGACTTGAGTGAGCATTTTCCTGATGAGGTTATGGACCCAATCCCTCATGTCAGCTCTTGTAAAAAACAACATGACATTCAGTTTTAAATCATAGCACCATTTCAAACTGAGCGCATTGGAAAAAAGCGACAAGAAATTCACAATTTTCCAGATGCAGACTTGCTGTGTAACATATACACTTTAAACGCCTTGCATTTTTGCAGAAAATTAGTTTTTAAAAAATGCACCGTGAAAAAAATTAAGCTGACATTAAGTGATGATGAGCTGGTCCTGATGTTTCTGCACAAGAAGAGGAAGAAACTAAGATTCTGGGCTTATTTCTTCATTTTTCAGGAGAAGACACCAGGGAAAGTTGAAGCTGTATGACGGAAGACGAAGCTTGAATGTGTATTATATATATAAAAGACACACTGAACCTCTAACCAGTTCACAAGTGGTTTCTGGCAGCTGTTTACCAACACTTGATGAAATCAATTGCAAGGAAGGTGTTGGACCAAAAACCTGCTTGTGATCGTGTTAGTCTCTAGCAGATTGTTGCCCTTAGTGTGCTTGGTAGGCTAAGGTAGGTAACTACTAGCAAAGTCGCAGTAAAACTTGGAAAAAGTGCAATACAAACTGGAAACAGAAAATGTTGCCTCCAAAATAAAAGCAGAAAGTAGTTGCAGATAAGCTGGGCATGTTCCATGCAAGCCACCAGCCACCACAGCAATCTGTTAGCAACTAACACAATCGCAAGGAAGTGGAGACAACACACATTTTCCACTCACAATCGTCGGTTGCCAGATGGTCATGGACTGATCTCTAGATCTGTGTGACTGGGGCCTTATTTACTTGACCGTACATTGTGACACGTCCAAAATGTCAGATAAGTTAATGTCACGTGTTTAGCAGTCGCGTGACTGAAAAACTACAATAAAACTCATAGGATGAGAACAATTTCAATCGTACTCATGCTTTTAAAATAATGCTAAAATGTGTTCAAAATATGGAAACGTGGAACACAGAGAAAAGTTCTGCAAAAACTTTCTGCTGGAAAGATAAAACAAACTGGACATAACTCCAGTTCTTTTTAGTGTGAATGTAGCCCCCCCCCTTCACCACCACTGACTGCGTGGGTTGGCTAGAGGGGGGTCAAGACTTCAGGCTTTCATTGCCAAAGCCACCCCATGTCTCCGCCCCTGGGACCTGTCTTCCAGTGCAAGGACTGTTGTTAAAGGGCTGTTTGCATCCACTATGTTTTGAACTGTTATATATTGTATAGTATAATGGAACAACAACAAAAAACTTTAGGTCTCTAAGGTGGCTAAGAATCGAAGAATCGAAGAGAATAAATTATAAGCAAATAAGAAATGCAGATATGTTCTGCTAATTTTAAGGGTTAGGAAACATCAATATATGTCAACTTTGTCTTCACACATATACACAGACTTGGTAAAGAGTCAGACCTCTTGACCTTCTGCACATCTGCTATGCTCCAGCTGACTTAAGACCACAAATACATTTAGAAATAGAAGTGCAGCAAAATGTCAAGGGTTTTGAAGACACAGCAAGTAGATGTTTAGTTGATTAAAACCTCGGCACGTAACATTTATGTAACAATGTCAGTCGCCTCCTTTGAAGCCAGATTAAGTGCTGAAGGACACACAGATAGTAAACAAAGCTGTACAGAATGTGCCCAAACTTTCTTAACAGGATCACTGGAGATTTATGTTAAAATCCAAAAGAAACAACTTCAACAAGATAGTTATTTAAAACGTGAGAAAAATAAAACAGAGGATGGTTTAATCTGACTTTTAAAATATTATTATTTTCTTAATACTTATAAATCCACTTTCTAATAAATTAAGTGTTGTTACTGTAATCATGTTTTGAATGGCATGTACTCCTCACACCAACACTAAAATACAGATGCACCCGTTTCAAACAGTGCAAAAATGTAAAGCTACGTGATAATAACAACCAATAAATTCTTAGGTCATATCAAAAGCATCTCCACAAGCAGGTTTGCTTGTACATAATTCAGTATATACACTTTATACTATCTGTGTCTCATAAAGGAGGGTTCTCACAAAAATATAAAAAATAGGGACTCGAAAAATCCTCATTTCCTCTATGAGTGATTAAAGCTCAGTTGAGCTTCGACTCAGAGACACCACAGACCAAATCTGTGTCTCCTGCGCAACCCTCCCTGTTCTCCCCCCTCCTTGTCTCATCTCTCCGTTCAATTGAAGATCAGATTGGCTGTTCGGTTTTCCTCCAAATCCAATATGCCAGGGCTGGTTCTGAGTGAGCGACTGGTGTAGGCGATAACACTTACCACCGTTGAATATGTCGCCGACGTGGAAGGAGAGCTCAGAGTCGTGCTCAGCCTCACATGGGTACACTGCCCTGGCTTTCCTGCTGGTGACACTGAAAAATGAAGGCAATCAGTGAGCTGGCGGAGCTTTGGGAAGGATTACCGCACAGTTCAATCTGGGCCCGGGGCCTGCTTGTTCATTCACTCACTAGCCTGAAACAGCAGAAATGGGCCAGGTTGGAAAATAAGAAAAAAAGTACTGAGAGAGGAGCTGGGCCACTACACAGCCTTGTCTTGCCCTATCTCTAGTCTAGACAGTCCAAGGAGCGAGTCAAAACACAGCTACAAGCACATGTGCGTGTGTGCTCAGACACAATGGGATGCAGCACTGTTTGCAGCAGATTTTGTACAGCCAAAAAGGAAAGCACACATCAGGTCTGCGCAGCAGACAACCATCTATGGTGAGATAATTAAAAAGTAGCAGGGGGATTCTAAAGTAGGTTTGCACACAAACACAGGTAGAAAAGAAATCTCCCTCCGCAGCGCTTCGGCTTTTAAATTCCCATTTGTGAGCTCAGAAGCTGCATTTTAAATCAGACCGATGTAAAAGAGCGCCGTCAAAGAAACCATATTCATCGCACCGCAAAGGTTAGTAAAAAGACGTATTTATGCCATTCGGTTGGCAAAAACATAAAAACCGTCTCCACAGAAAGCTTGTTTTGCCCACCATTGCAAAGTGTTATCTCGAACGCCAGCAACATTACCATGTAGAAATTGTGCCTTCAACGCACGATGCCCTGATAAATATTTCATATTCTTTCTGCAGAGAGGCAACAATGTAGGATGAGAAAGGAGAAAGAAGATATACAAACTGAAAAAAGTTTGTGGTCACAGAGTTGTCAATACAACAATGCTCAGCCAAGTTCCTGAATTCAGAAGAATTTTGGAAGAATGCACTCATGTGGAACCGCATTTGGAAAAACGAAGACTTTTATTTCGATGAAAACAACATTGATGGATTGCCCATAGAATTACCACGCTGTTTGCATACTCCTCAGCAACATCTGAAGGCACCGAGAATGAACTGAGCATTTATTTGGAGGCAGGCAGGGCAATTGATCAGCGCAATGGGCTGACTGCGTGCACAGTCCCATCCACTTCTCTCAAGGTACCATTTGAGGCTTGACAAAGGAGAAGGTTGCTGCTATGGCCAATGCTTGTGTGGCATTCAATTCATCAAAGGTAACCAAATCACACAAAGAGTGAACAACATTAAAAAGAAAAAGAAGGAAAATATTGATGTGAAAAGCTGCGCTGATGCTAGACGATTGAGACACGCAAGATAAGAGCAGCGAGTTAGTAACAGAGGAAGTGATTTAAAACAGGAAAAGAGAGTGAAAGAATTTTTCCGCATGACATTCAAACATGATGCGAGCGTGATAGTGAACAATTCAGACAAAACAGCACGGAAGAGAGGTCAACTGCAATTACGAAATTAGAGAAGAAACTAGCAAAGAGCCCTGTCTTACCTTTCTTCTTGCCTTTCTTTGTCAGAAGTAGCTTTGGTAGCAGCAGTTTGACGCTCTCCTGACGATCCAGGAGCAGAGCAGGAGGCTGCTGCTGTGGCAGATCTGCAAATAAAACAGAGCAGCTTAGTCACCACAGATTCCATAGTGTCGTCTGCTGACTGAAATTATGGTCAGCATTATGTAACCCATCGGTTTCCCTCTTTGGATCTTTGGATAGTTAGCCGCTGACGACTTGTTTTTTGAACACTATGAGAAAGGGGCGTTTCTGACTGGAATATTGCACAATTTATAGTTTATTTAATTCTTAATTCAACCATAAAGAACAAAACGAAGCATTTAGACTTAGAATTAGCATTTAGTGAGGTCATAAATCAAAAGAGAAGTAGGCTCATGTAACCACAGGCTTCTGTACAATCACTTGGTTTTGCAACTAGAAGAGTCACCCCCTGCTGGCCATCAAAAAGAATGCAGATTAAGGCTAAGGACATCTTATACATACAGTAATGTTGGCATACTACACTATAGCACGGAGTCACATTTCCATGAAAACAACACGATACCAGCATTAATGTTCTTGTTCACGCAGCATTATAATATAAATGCAATTGAAATATATGAACTCAAAGGTTTATTTAATCAAATGCGATTTTTTTTGTGAGGAAAATGTGCTTGGTGTAAACTAAACATATACCGATCAATTAAAGTTTTATTTCACCAGATTCCATTAAATATAACATTTAGATATACAATATAGCAAAATCAGAAGGAAAACTTTAATTAGTTAACGTCACCATCTTGAGCTGATTTTTGTGTGTGTACCCCGTGAAGAGGTTCTCAAGCCATTATGCGTTTCTTTTCTTGGTAAAACCTGTACCTACAGTAGTGAGCGCAGGTTCTGCACAGTCACACGTTGACTGTAGTTTTATCTGTTGCAGTAGTAGCTGTGCTTTACACTCGTTGTCAGGGCCAACAAGTCTATGGCCGACCTGAAGGACTGAGGTAGGGGTCCTGATAAAGGGAGAGTGCAGCAGAGGAGAGCAGGAGTCTCAGCCAGGCATCCCTCTGTGCTCCATGCCTGCCCCAGGGCCAGTGCTAATACAGCACATAATGAGCAAATTGCTCCTAGCTGCCGCTCCCATAGAGACGTTAATAAAGGCAATTAGAGGGAGCAGCTGGGGAGGGGCTGGAGGTTGAGAGGATGTTGTGAATAGTGGTTACGTTGGCACTAGTAGACGTGGGGGGAGAGATAGCCTTAAGGGAGAACATGGCTGGGGATGTTATGTGGACATAGGTGGAGGTGAACACAGCGCTGTGCTCACGTTTTCGTCCCACGCCACCCCCTCGCCTCCCGTAGTTGCTTTCTTCCCTCATTTCTTCCGCTGCTTCTCTCAGTGCTCTTGTCCATCCCCAGCGGTGGCTGTTCTGTTTGGGCCTGGCCTGACTGTGGGTGATTTATAGCTCTGCAGCAGTGTGGGGCCACTGTGGTGCTCAGCTGCTCCACATCAGCATGGGGGACAGTGCGCTGCAGTGCAGCAAATCCACTCATTAACCTGGTCCCAGGCACAACCACTGTCCGCCTGGGTCGAAGCCAAAAGAGAGGAGAGCCGAGGAGCGCCAACACTTGACCCACCAGCAGGTGAACTCACTCGCATACACGCCATATCCAAAATTAGATGATATTGAAAGGAGAAAATGTCAACATCCACATATTTCAGAAAAGTTAAATGATCTGTCTGACTGTTTCTCACAGCTGGGAAGAGGATTATGCAGCTTTGTGAAGATCTTTAAAATAAACATTTATCTAAATAATAATAACAGAATAAACAGTTAGGGAAATCAGGGAACGCCACATGGTTGCCCTAGAAACTTGTTAAATACATCAGAGGTAAATGGATTTATCCAAAAATTGCTTTCACAATTACAGCTAAGCCAAAGCGAGGGAAATCGTTTACCGTTTCTCTTCAGCAAAAATAGCATCGAGCATGAATTGCTCTTCGTTGTTTTTTACCCGTCACAGGCCTAGCTAAGCTTTTTCTGTAAAGATGATTAAATACAGTAAATAGGGACTTGAAAATGCAGTGCATGAAAGGCCTGGATGAAAATCCCCTTTCAGATGCCGGTAATATTTATCACAAGAGTTTTCTTTAAGAGTATTAAGTTTCAAGTTGTGAGGATGTGTATGTATATTACCGGTATATTGAGCAGAGGGCATATTGTAAAAACTAAAGGGCATCATTATATCAAACTCAAACAATATTGCAAACACGGAATTTCAAAGTGAACAGCACCTGGAGGTCTTCTGGTTTATCATTATAAACATTGGGGTTATCACACGTTATCACGCATTGCACAGCAGAGGGCTGCTGCTTCTCATTACTGCAGGAATTTCAGCCTGGAGGATCCAAGCCTTGTTGATCCTGGCGTGGAGCTAACATGGGGATGAGCGGGGCTATCGACCGTCTTTCTACCAAAGGACGAAAGGCAGCGGTGGGATTTAGTACTGTTTCTAGTAGAAAGTGGGATCAGACCTATAGCCGAGCTGCTCGCCCAGCAATCTCCAGTTTGGGTGGGCAGGAAATAAGCTCTGATCCACCATTTTATGATCCACAGCTGTCTGCCAGTGGGAGGCTTGGAGGGCTGGAGGTGGGGCAGCAGCACAGAGATAGAAGGAGGCCAAAAAAACAAAACAAAAAAAAAAAGGCCAGAAAATGTAACCTCATTGGGCAGCACTTCGGGCAACCGAGCCGCTGGGAGAAGCTGTGAGTGAATTCAGGGAGAAGAGGAGAAATGAGGCAAGACATGGAAGTAGACAGAGAAGATAAATCGTGCAAATGCCCACAAAGAGTTACTGTATGATACAGTGAGTCAGGATGCATTTTTTTTGTATGACCATGCAGATTTTTGCCATGCTGCAGGACAGAGACTAAAATATGTTGCTTTCCAGGTGCGCCTTTGAGCACGCCAGAGAGCAGATAACACATTTCTGAGAGTGGCTGGAAGTAATGCAGCAATTTCCATCCCTACTGCTCTTTTTGGCTACGACTCACACCGAATCCCTGGGTTCCACGCCAGAGAGCTGCTGTGCTAACAGGTCTCTACCATCTCACATGCTAAGATTTATGAGCGAACAAAGCCAGGGCGACACCCTGTGACATATGGCGCAAGTCTTCATAAAGGGACAGGGGCTGCGGCTATAAGGGTAAACAAGATGAATATCTCCCCAATGTCAATACGATTTACACGGCCAACGCACGGCCACCTGTCTCCCAAACAAATAAGAGCCGAGATTTACGACCTCCTCCTGGTTGCTCCTTCCGTCCTCCAACATGATGCCACATATGTGGGAAAGCACAAAAAAATAAATAAATAAAATACCCACAGGGGAAAAAAATAGAGTTGGTTACATAAGGGCTATAGAGCCTTGTCTGTCTAATCCTGCAACTTAGAAAAAAAACTAAACATGCCTACACTCACAGGCGGGCAGGCACCCACAGAGGTCACAGAGAGAAGAATCACATTGTCCTCTGTCAAGGTGTGAGGAGGATTTGTTTTTATTTTACAACTCTTTTCAGCTGATGGAAAAGGAGAGAGGGACAGTGAATGAGGGAAAAAAAGACAAGTCTATTCCAAGGTGAATGTGTAGACATGACACAGCAGAGAGTCTAACATCTGCAGCATAACCCAATAATTCATCTCTCACATCAGCATTCAAGACAAGTCATAGGCTGAAAACAACAAAAAGGACCAAGGACTTAGCAGTGAGGACAGAAAGGAGAAGCCAGCGAGGGAGAGAGAGAGAGAGGCATGGCAATGCATTCCAGCTATTAATGCATTTCCCATCTAGTACAAAAGAGTAATAGCAAGAACAATGGGGCTGACACTCCAATAATTAATTCCACTTTACCTTGAATAATCTGTTATTTAATTAAACTCAAAAATGGCAACTGCGTAATGTGCATTACAGGTTAGCAAACGCGTGATTCACACGAGAACTGAGATGCTCGTTTTCCACGATTCACAATGTTCAAAAATAGGTAAGTGTGCATTATTAATAATGATTGTTTTATCTTGCCAAGTATGCTTTTTGCCCAGAGTTGTAAAGAGGGAGCTGAGATGCAGCTGCTAAGTGCAGAAAAGTTCAACTGCTTCCCATGATGAATGAAACCCAAAGTGTTTACATGAATTTCCTTTTTAATAATGTCCACAGGAAGAAGTCGCTGGACTTTTGGCTTAGAGTCGCTATTCTCAGGTTGTTGCTGAAATATGTGCGCCAATATTCAAAGGATTTCATTCTTCATTTTAATCCGCAAGTGTGCATCAAAGTTACTGTCGAGCCAGATGATGCAAAACTGAAAGTGCGTGAAAGGGAATTTCAATTTTCTGTCAGCTGAGGATGACCAACGGTGCCCTGAATCAAACGCTAACATGTTGCTAAAAGATGTGCTTTTCTAAGGACGTTTTCAAACTGGACGAGGGGAGCATCGAATCCCCGATGGTCTGATTAAACTACACCGGTTTGAACTGGAAGACAAAAAACCTAAAATCCAATTGATTTAATGGAAGATTTCTGCTCCAAAAACACTAACAAGAGACTAAAAAGAATATGAATATACATAAGAACAGGTTCTCACAGAATCACAGTAACCACGTCAATACAAAATGCAAGTGAATTAAAAAGCCTACAATTAAAATAATGTCCTTCTCTCTTATTTGGAGTTTGCCTTTTCCTCTGAATCATCCCCTACACTTCTGAGAAGTTCAACGATTCATATGTTAAATGAATCAATACATTAAGTGAGAGGAAATTGGCCCAAAGACTGATTACCAGACTAACAGCTGTGCTTTGGAAGCAAAGACCAGTTAATTAGAAAACACTCTAATCAAACATTAGTTATTAAAAACAGAGTTTACCTTTGAGAATGGGATAACTTGATGTGAAGCACTACTAATTTGAAATCATTTTCATTTGTGGCCTGATAGCTGAAGATCTCACCTCACAAACATGCATTCTGAGCGCCCGCATGCGACATATCGATTTGAGACTTAGTGAAGAACTCACCCGGAGTTGCTGCCTGAGGAGAGGCTGGCATTAAGAGGGGCGTGGTCACTCTTCTCCATATTCACCTCTGAGGCTGAGGCTGATGATGACTGCGATGATACAGATTCATTGCTGCCCATTGATGTCTCATCTGGAGCTGGGCTGGAACCGTCTCCCACTGTTGACACTGGGATAAACAATTAACATGTGTTTGTTTGAGTTAATTACATCTTTTTAAATAATTTTAGTCAACGGTAAAAGGTTCAGTCTGCTCAAGCTCGCCGACAATAAAACAGATGAATAATTTATCAACACATGAAAACAATCCTGCATCAACAAGGGACTTTGTAAATCAAACTGCTGTCAAAGCAGGCGAGACTTACAACCAAGTTTGTGTTGTTCGTTACACTTGTGAAGTCATAGACAGGAACCTAAGAGACAGCTGGGAGAGCCGAGCTCTTGTTTTTCACTTTTACTGTGACGTAAAGATTGTGCTTTTAAGAGATGAGGGAGGCACAAAAGGATAAATGTAAAAAAAACAAAAAAAACAAAACCACAAAATACAACATTTATCTCTCCCCCGATAAATACATCAATTATGAAAATGTCTAAGAACTGGCTTTGTGTACAGTACAGTGCTAAACTCTTGAGCCACCCTCATTTCTTTATATTTTGCTAATAAAATAGGAAATGTGTGCAGTGATTTATTGAAACATGTGCAAACATACATGGAAATACAATATATAGGCCAAAAACAGAGTTTGTACATTTCTAATGAACTTGAAAGTTAATATTTGTTATGAACACAGCCTGATCTTTCTTAGGCAGCTGCTTCAGGAATAGTTCTCCAGGCTTCTTGAAGGACATTCAAAGCTCTTTTTTGGATGTTGGCTGCTGGCACTATTCTCTCAAGATGATCCCACACTGCGTCAATAATATTGAGGCCCGAGCTCTGGGGAGGCCAATCGATGACCAACAGTGTTACACTGTGAGTTTTTCTATCCAAGTATGCTTTTACTGCGCCGGCAGTCTGTTTGGGATCATTGTCATGGTGAAAAATGAAGCAGTTGTTGTTACAACTTGCTTCCTATGCGCAGCACTAGATGTGAGCAGAATATTGTTGCTACCCTACTGTTCAAGTCTTTTGTTTAGAGGTGGAAACCCACCAAAAGAAAGTTTGCTTAGAAGGTGGTGATGTCAGGATATAAATCTGGTTGTAAGAGACAGAAGATGGCCTGAGGGTCTGCACCAAAGATTAATTTATACTGTAAATCATGCAAAGCTTCTCTAGTGGAAAAAAGCTAAAGTTAAAAGTTAAAAAAAATCTATTGATTAAACTTGAGACCACTTTATAATGAGAATGAGTTCAATTTATTTTATGCATTATTATATAATTTTATCTACAGATTCTGACAGTACATTTTTTTGTAAAGTGCTCTAAGAAAAAGATCACATCTGATGAAATAAATATTAAAAAAGCAAAACACACCCAACAGTAATAAACTGGCAGCTAAATCTTTAGCACCTTTTACATTTTAATTAAATCAGTAACAAACATGCAAGTGATCTGTAATCATCTTGAGAATAAGAGCCTTGTAAACCATAGTTGTTGGAAAGCTTCCTGACACAAATACTCTGATTAAAGCACCTCTCTACGCATGGCGTGCCGTCACATCTGCGAGGATATCAGACACCCAGCACGGCACGTAGACTCATAAGAAGAGTCACACGCATACATAAACACTGCTCTCTCTTACCCACTTCAGCATTCTTAAATTGCTTTTACTCTTATTATGTGGGACCCATATAAAAGACACAAAGGTTAAAAAAGGATTATGCCTTTCATCCCTGATATTAAAATACCCCACAGTAAAAGCTAGCACAAGGGAGACAAAGAGAGGCAATCTGGTAAGCAGATTTAGACTCCTTTGGTATTGTGTGTGTGTGTGTGTGTGTGTGTGTGTGTGTGTGTGTGTGTGTGTGTGTGGGGGGGGATTTAACTGGCTGTGGATCAGAAACTGCTAGAGTTAAAGTGTTTGGGTCAGTGGGTCAGGTGACCAGCTCTCCTGATGTACCAGAGTGGGACTCTCTTATGCTGCAGTCTCCCAGTCAATCTTTACAGAAGGTAAATTTTTAAGTAAACAAAAACACAGAAAAGACCCAGATGCAAATCCCTTCAAACAGTATTAGAGAAAGAAGGTGATTAAGTTTAGTGAGTCATCTGTAGACACTGTTATTCTGCATAGCACTCATAAGGGAACAGACAGAGTGAGTGATTTAGAGCTCAGCAGGGATCAGCGATAAATACACTTAGTTGCCAGTTTATTTGTTACACCCACCTCAAACTAATGGATACTAATATTGTTGCCTGAATGCATCCGACAGTGATAATGTTTAGTTTTTGTTTAAACCGCCCATTAGAAAGATGCTGATTCGACTTCATGATAATTCTGGATATTTTGACTTTGTGTTTCTGTTCAACAACACTGTATTACATAAAGCCTAACCTCCTTGGTGCACCTCACAACCTGGCAACACTCTATAATGATAATTAATGCACAAAATAAGTTAGAGTATGAGTGTACAAATTAGCACTAAAATAAATTAGCACTAAAGTTTTCCCTTTTCAGGTTCTTTAAGACAATACATGTTGGATTTTAAATTGCCCCCCAACAGGATCTCAACTGGCAGCTTCCTTGTGTAGACCTAGAACCAGCGTGGACCCCCTTTTTCCTTCAGAACTGTCTTAATTTTTTGCTGCATAGATTCAACAAAGTGCTGAAAACATTCCTCAGGGGTTTTGGTCCATATTGACATGATAGCGTCACAAATTTGCAGAAAATTCTTTTGGCTGCAAATTGGCGGCTCTATTGAACTGAGATCTGGTGACTGTAGAGTAGAGCAGGGCGATATGACCAAAAATATTTATCACGATATACATTTGAAAATTTGCAATAACGATATAACTGACAATATAATTGACACTAGACAAAATACTTTACAACTCCACACCTTTGTTAGTGCAAAAAAACCCCAAACATCAATATATTTTCACTTAAACAAGCAGCTGTTTTTTTATGTGCATTAAAGTTATATAAAAATGTAACAGTCCAAATTCCTTGCTGACAGTTTAACCAAAAGGCATTTCCAGTGGAAATTGGCCGACATATCCTCAGCATAACCATGTATAATATCCACAAAACTTAAAAAGAGGTTATACACACACAATACGGTAATATCATGCTGAAGCACAGTACGTATCACTCCGTGAGGCGCCTGCCTACGATAGCCGTAATGCTCCGACAATCCATCAAGCGGTGCGGCTTCGTAGCTTAGCAAAGTCGTACTAAAACATTTGACAGATTTTCGAGCACCGTGTACATAAAATCGTTTTGAGGTCAGTAAACACAACCGGAATTCATACATAAGGCACACGGGATTATAAGGGACACTGTCGAGTTTCAGAAAAATCAAAGGATTGATTTTAAGTGTGCCGTGTTTTCCAAAAAAACACGGTAATAACGACGGCCCGCTAGCATGCTCTACCAAAAATACTGCTTTGTTGTGTATCTGACGGACGAAAGCTAAACCAGTTCCATGCCACTGAAGTTGCAGCATTTTTACAAACCAATTCTGGTTCACCCGTTTCATTCAACGATCCGCTTTCGACCTTCTCATTTTCCGCCATGTGCGTATGAAAACAAAGGCACTGCGCATGCGCGTTTTACCCATAATCTATCGCGATATTTCATTTTCTTATCATTGCCCAACATTATACCGGTATTACCGTGAACGGTATGATATGGCCCAGCCCTACTGTAGAGGCCATTTGGGTACAGTGAACTCATCGTCATGTAAAAGAAATCAGTTTGAGACGATTTGAGCTTTGTGGCGTGGTGCGTTATCCTCCTGGAAGCAGCCATCAGAAGATGGGCATGCTGTGGTCATAAAGGCATAGACACAGTCAGCAGCCATACTAAGCTAAACAGTGGCTTTTTGAATGATGGTCAGTTGGTACTAGTTGGCCCAAAATGTGTCAAGAAAATATTTTCTGCACCACTGCACTACTACCAGTTTGAACCACTGATACAAGCCAGGCCAGCTCTATGCTTTCATGTTGTTTGCACTAAATTCTGGCCCTATTATCTGAATACTGCAACAGAAATCAAGACTCATCAGACCAGGCAAAGTCTATATAGTTTTCCATTTTGGTCCAGCAGCAGCCTTGGTTTCCTGTTCGTAGCTTAGGACCGACATCCAGCGTGGTCTTTTGCTGCAGCAGGCCATCTGCTTCATGACTTACTGAGTTGTGCATTCCGAGATGCTCTTCTGCATACCTTGGTTGTAGAGTTGGATGTCTCGAGACCGGTGGTCTTGGTCTCGTCTTGGTCTCGACGGACTTTTGTCTTGGTCTCGGTCTTGGTCTCGACGGACTTTTGTCTTGGTCTCGGTCTTGGTCTCGCTGTTTCGGTCTTGCGTTCTCAAATCGACATAGTGTTCGGGAGATTTGGAGTCAACCATCAGCGGAGTGGGGGGGGGGGGGTGGCTTACTGGGCTTAAGCCCAAAAACAACACACGAAGCACAGAGCGCACCGTCGTAAATTCCCCCTAATTTTGGTATGATCCGAGCTCAGGCACTAGGCGACTGAGCGCAGCACCCATGTGAGCGAGGGGGGAGAAGCTGCTGCCTGCGAATTTGCTGCAGACAGAGGAGAGCTTAAGTTTGACCAGGTACCAAAGCAAATCATTCGTACTGAACTAATAATGTAAATATGACGGTGTATCACAAAAGATTGATATCAAACTGATCACTTGGTTGCGTTACTCGCTCTTCGAGTGAATCAACAAATGGATAAATAAAAAGCCGAACAGCAATGCTGATTTTTTAGTCTTAGCTTACATTTCATATTTTCAGTTGTTACCCTCCACGGCTAAACAAACTCTCTAAATCGGTTTCAGTTGTGTACTGATGAACACAACAATGGACATAAGGAGCTTCTTTCAAAGAAAAAACTCAGGTAGATGTTATTTTATATATTATGCTTTGGATGTTGTTCAGTATATCTATGCAAAACAAGAGGAATTTCAATACACAGCAGTATATTCACAGTTGAAACCAGATATTTACATACACTTTATGGAGAAAACATAAAAACTTTTTTTACTGTTAAACATCAATTTAGAGTAAACTTTTGTTTTAGATAAATAAATGTTGAAATATCTTTTGAATTAGTTAAATGTCAGAATAAAAAGAGGGAGCTGTCTATTTTAATCACTTTCATCAAATTTAGGAGTACATATACACTAAGTTTATTGTTAATTAATAAGAAAACTCCAGACGATTCCATTCTGAGCTAAAGAAGCTTCTGATAGGTTAGTAGAGTCCATGTGATTTGATGTTACAATTAAAAAAGTGTTTGTGTTTTTATCTGAAGAGTACATAAATATCTGGTTTCAACTGTATATTTGATGATGTTGGTGTTTGGCTTGATTGTCAGCACAAAGAGGGAGAGAGAGGAGCAGAGAGGGAGAGAGAGAATGACGACAGAACAGAGATGGAACAAGAGCAGGTGAGACACACATGTTAGTCAAATGGTTGTTTGCCAAAACTCATCAGAACATGTATCTAGTACCTAGTGTTTCTTTTTAGATACCTTTGTTACTTTTCAAATTCTATATTTATTAAGTTATGCAGGCTTGTTTGCACAACGAGGCTAAATAATTATATAAACTTTTCTCAATCTAAATATTGTACTTTGGTAGAATTAAAAAATAAGTGTAGTGCAGGTCTATGATGATTTTAGTGCTACTATCATCTAGTTCTGATTCTGGTTCTGTCTTGGTTACTGTTGTAGTCCTGTTTTAATTCCAGATCAGTTTTGGGTCTGGTTGAATTGGGGTTTAGTCCCTGTGTCTTGATACAGGCCCGACTTTGTTCTGCCTTGCTGCTTAATTAAAAAACTAGTTTAAGGTGTCCTGAATATGTATATAGAATAGCATCTGGCTGCAGTTTAAAGACTTTTTTTGTCTCGGTCTTGGTCTTGGTCTTGGTCTTGGTCTCGTCTCGACTCGGTCTCGGTCTTGGTCTCGTCTCAACTTGGTCTTGGTCTTGTCTTGGTCTCGATACCCTCTGGTCTTGGTCTTGTCTTGGTCTCGATACCCTCTGGTCTTGGTCTTGTCTTGGTCTCGGATTAGGCGGTCTTGACTACAAGTCTACTTGGTTGTAACCAGTAGTTACTGTTGCCTTCCTCTCAGCTTGAAACAGTATGGCTATTCTCCATTGACATCAACAATACATTTTTACCCTCACTGTATAGTTTCTTTCTTGTTTCATCTCTGTAATCTCTAGAGATGACTGTGTGGGGAAAATCCCAGTAGATCAGCAGTTTCTGAAATACTTTGCTATATTCTATAGACCAGCCTGTCTGGCACCGACAACCGTGCGACGATCAAAGTTATCGGTTTGAGCTTCAGCAGGTCATCTTCACCATATCTACATGCCTAAATGTATTGAGTTGCTGCTGTGTGGTGTATCCACATATCCGCACATGGAAATGGAAGTAAAATAATATTTTCCAACATAACAGATTTATGTTCAGTTCATTTGCACTTACTAAAAGTCTCAGGGCAGGTATTACTCACTTGTTGCCACTTAAGACCTCTTGGGCCCTACAAATGAATAAATGCTTAGTGAGATGCTTGCTGAATCACTATAGTGCTTTACAGCTAAAGTGAGGAGCATTTGAACTTCTAGAGCAAAAAAATAAATAAATTCCTAAACACATTCACAACACCTTTTATTTAACACACCAAGAAATGTGAAAATATACAGGTACAAACTTGTACATCTCTTACCATTCTGAATGTCAAGGGCTTGCGGATTGTAGACAGCCAAAGGCCGATTCTGTCGACTCATTTTCTTGGACTGCCTCGTGGGAGCACAGAGCACTGGGGCAGCAGGTGAGAGAGGGCATGACTCGGGAGCATCTGTAAAGATCTGAATACACATGTGAATAAGTCTGTAGCAAAACACAGCATACACAATGCAGATACTCCTAGACTGTTGAGCTGCAGCATGTCCTCAACTGAACCAATGTGTTTTGAAAAACTCACACTCTTTATGTAGTTGTGGATGGAAAAAGATATTTGCAGCAGCAGCAAGTTCTCCTAGGAAAAGTTGAGCTGCTCATTGATTGGACCCTAAAAACTGCATGTGAACAGATTCGTGTGTGTGTGTGTGCGCATGTGTGTGTGTGTGTGTGTGTGTGTGTGTGTGTGTGTGTGTGTGTGGCCAAAAAATTAAAAAATAACTAAATAAATAAATAATCACTTCCCCATCTAGAAATCCAGGGCTAACTTAAGGTGACGTTTTTCCTCCGAAAAAAATTGACCCAAAGTCAAATAAACAAGGTTTGGACTTGAGGAGGACTGGCCAACTGGCAAAGCCTGTTTACACCGGGCCCGTGTTTACATATAAACTTCAGATGTGGAGTTAAAAGAGAATAGGGCTGCAGAGAAGAGGAAGTCTCAGCAGAGCCTCAGAAAGGATCACAGATGAGGAGAGGAGGGAGGTAGGGAAGGGAGAGGAGAGGAGAGAGAGAAAGTGAGCGAGAGTGTGAACGGAGAGGCAGATAGAGGAGGGGGAGGGGGGGGTGGGGGCATGAGAGAAAAAGTTTGTAGGAGAGAAGCAGATAGAAAAAGTGAGAAATCTGATATGGCTGAGAGTTTGTGCTGCCTCTCTCTTCCCCTCTCGCCTCTCTCTGCAGATGGAGGTGAATGTAAAGCAGAGTCTACTGTTGGTATCTGGGGGTATCAACAGTCTGGAGTGGGACTCAGCTGTGAGGGAAGTTAATGCCCGTCTGTCTGTCTGCTCAACTTTTCCCCTGCTCAAACATGCTGTACTTTCTAAAATGCTCTTGCTGCATTCTAACACTACATCCTTTATCACCTGGCCAGTGCTGGATACCTCTAGGTAGTCTAAGGACACTAGCGGTGCGCGCGGGGCTGGCTGGTGTTGTTTTTTCTGTATTTTCTCACACCCCGTTTTAGATTTGTGAGTTTGGGTGGAGACATTATTCGCAACACGCCTCTTCTTCATTTTAATGAAGCTTGGAAGGAAAATAAACACGACGAGCTCCCGGTTTCATCTGATTCTATGCAGCGAGTGCAGCTCTGCTCCAAACAGATTAGAAAACTAATCTCAAACCTTTTTCTCTTCTGACACGGAGAATTATCCCCGTTTGAGGATTGACACCGATTAATGACATTCTGGGGGAGATTACATGATCCTGTGAACTACAGGTTATGAAACAACTCACAACCAAAATAAATGCATTCAGACAGGCCTTTCTGAATGTAATAAAATGTGTGCAACAATCTACGGAGTAATCAAAAGGCTGAAATTGAAGAGAAAACCATGTGTTTGATTCTGGTAGAAGCACTTAGGGCTCCCCCTATTGGAGAGCCACACAAAAATATGTAAATTAAACTAACATCGAGCTTCTCTGCGCCTCAATAACTGGGTGTAGGGTATTCTGTCCGAGCATGTTTCATTATCTGAGCTCTATGTCAACTCGGAAAAGCTTCCAATAGCCACAAATTACCCCATCATCTAGTATGATGCATGTTTTTGCCAGAACACTTACTCAAGAAAGCAAAAAAAGGTTTTCAATGCACACGTACAAACCACCCTCACTAAAAACAAGAATACCTGCAGAAGAAAAGAGCATCACATCTCCCCTAATTGAGACTCTTATTCGATCCAGATGAAACTCTTCTGTCAGACATAGTACAGTACGTGCACTTCTGTTCCAGCAGAGAAGTACCAAATAATAATTTAGGAAGCGAAACACAAAACCTCTAACAGTAATAAAGCGCCCCGTTCCAAAAAAGACTCGCAAACACATTTTTTGCTGCACTAGCACATTTATAATCTGTCAGTTTCGAGTAATTATGCACCACATAGGTAGGTAAACAACAAGGTGCTGTGAGCAGCTTACTGATGTCATGTCACCTCAGATTTCATTTCGTGCTGTCACTTGTTACCTGGCGCTGCCTACAGTGCTTAGGTTTTAGTGAATATAGTTGTGGACTGCGAATTGCAAAACAGTTGTATAGAAAATGTTGCACTCGCAGGATGAATCCAATGTGAAGAGTCAACGCAGTTAACGCGTGTACAATCAAAAAAAGTCAATAGAATACAATAGAAGGATATTCCCATAGACACTTATACAGTCTATAGAGTGCACTCCACTAGGCATATGATAGATTATAAAGTCTGTGTGTTACCTTTTCATGGTGTTCAATGAGGATTTCCACCACAATGTTTTGGAACTTAAGGTCCATGATGGCGGCGACAGTCTCCTCCTGTGGCCTCATTAATGTGGGTCCGAACACCACGCCCAGGTTGGCCACGGTCATCAGATTCTGCTTGCTGTGTGCCGCCACACTGGGGAAAATAACCACTCACATTATAGCCGCTTAATTTAAACTAAACAACTTAACTTCACAAAGACAGGGTAGTCCAAGAATAAAAAAAGGGCAGAGCTCCAATAGCGTAACTGTAATGGGTCATTATTTCCCCCTCCCCCCAAAAAAGTTACATAAGCAGATGAGAAAGGGAATCCAAAAATAATGTTAAATAAAGGCTTAGTCGCTGGCTGAAAAACAGCCCTTGAACACAAGACAAGTTTTTTCTACCCTTCAAAACTGGAGGTGGTAAACCACCCAGATCTGGATGCACTCATCTTCCAGCTCATTAAATTAGTAGACGGTGGCCTATGCAACAGCTAGTTCAAAGACATTTTTAAACCCAATGTAAAATAATGAATTTGATGCCAGCAACAAATTCCAAAAAGTTAGGACAGGGCCAATGCTTATTGCTGCACTCCAGCATCTCTCCTGTGACTGGTAACTGAGGAGACCAACTGCTGTAGTTTTAAAAGCCAAACGTTTCTCGCTTGAGATAGGGTTTCAGCTGCGGGGCCTCCTTTGTTATTTGTATTTGTATTTGTAATTTCATTATGACGCCAATCGGCCCTTTCAGACATGCACTCCTTCCCATTAATCTGATGGTGCTTGAACTTGTCAGCTTCGTGTTTGTATGAGCGCCCTGGCCACAGTTGCGATTGCAATCTTACCAACTTGGCGTGTGTGACTTTTACTTATTTTCTTTACAACACAAGTCTAAACTGCATGCAGTCACATTAGCAGATAGAAACACACGATTAAGACTGCAAATCTTGTTCAGCTCACTGAAAGGTTTGAATGTTTGCTGTTGTCATCTAGAATCGCCATTCCTTATTCAGTAAAGGGGCAGCTGAAGCACACACAGGCCCGAAAACACAGGGAGACTGCTTCTAGTGACAGTGACAGATGGAACTAAAGAGTGAAGTTACACTACTCTAGTGTCACTGTTGACAATGCTTGTGGGCACAAGGGCAACAAGTCTTGAAGCACATTATGCACAGTATGCATGCGTATGGTGTCTCTTTTTGTCATTCTTACATTTCTCAATTAACCCAGGGGGAATACTAATGCAAACATGACCCAGTATCCATGTACTGTACAATGTTTTCCATGTCAGGAAAGGACTCATGGATGACTCGTCAATGTAGGATTGTAGGTAGAACCAGTTTAGCATCCTTTCATTTTGGACTATGCTACAGAGTGTGGTTTAGCAAAATCTGTGCACATCTTTTTAATAATTATGGTGCCTTCACAGATGAAAATCACCCTTGCTATATGCATTAATCTAACCCCATGCCATTACAGATTCTGGTTGTGACTCCTAAAAGTAATTACTAATTTCAGATGCCCAAATTCTCTGCAATTTTAGTTTGAGAATTTTTAAAACTGCTGCCGAAATATTTGCTCCTGTAGTCTTTCAGAGCATAGCAGCGGTTAACACATTCACCTTACATCCAAAAGACCCCTGGTTTGAGATGGGCAAGAGACACGAAGCTAGTCTAAAAGAAGGGTGGCTTGTTCATGAACTCCTAGTGCTGGTAAATGTGAGGTTAAGGGTATTTCATGTAAAATGTGTGCCAAATTAAATATGCAGATACATTTGCTGTGCTGATCCTTTGGGAGCAGAAATAAGGGAGCAGCTGAAAGTACCGCGGAGTCTTTTCCTCTGACTCAGTGGCATTCACAATCACATTACTGATCAGTTCTGTTTGTTTGTTTTTTAACTTTAAACAACATCCCTTTTATTGTTTTGTCACTTGTTGATGGCATTAGAGTCAAGCATATATTTTTTTAAAAATCACACTTTCAAGTTTTACTTTTACTTTAGTAATTGTGAAAGACATTAGCCAAACTGACACCTTGCAGCACTGTATGATGCTTTGTGTCATATGAAATGTATATAAAACGCTTAAAAAACACTACAATTAAGTTTAATTACTATGAACTTTCTATTAATATTTTTGCTCACATATAATTATTCTGGGGGATTTTTTTCAGATTTTCTTTTCAAAAGCACACAACATGGCCATTGATTAAGCTTTCTCTTTGTGTTCTGAATGCGAGTATGTATTAATCTCTTCATCATATTGCCAACGCTGACATGTAAAGAGGCCAGGGGATGGATCCACCTTACCAAATGATATTTACATTGAGGAAAGACTGGAGTTTTATTTAATGTCACCTACATCCATTCCAAAACTGGGAGTTCAATAGGTACAACTATATTAAGTGGTCAAGAAAAAAAAAAGTTGAAAAAACCTTTATTTGAAGAAAAAGTTATACGGACAGGTGAAGAGATTTCATACTCCAAATATGATGATATGCAGTGCAGCTGCAGAGAGACAGTTTAAATAGCTTCAAAGGATGCCTTTGAAGACAAAAACATTGGTGACAACTCACATTTATAACATCTCTGAAACCATTTCAGATAGGAGTGTGAAATTCTGGCTTTGCTTCCTTCCCCTGCAGGACATGCACACACGCCAACTTCAGAAAAATATTCGAGTCTCTCCAGTCTGGAGAATTTCACGCTGGATAATCCAAATTCAATTTCAATAGCGCTGCCTTTTTACCACAGCCTGATTCTGCAGCGGGTTTCTATGAAATAAGATCCACCAGACTTTCACTGCCTCAGGGAAGAGGGATTATTTACTTATCTTCAATTTGCTCATATTTAGTTTATAAAAAGCTTGCTGAGGTAAAACCTTGTAATGTTAGCTAACATTATTTCTTAAAATCTTTCTTCCTATCTAATCTCGCAAATGGAATGATGCACAATAGTGGTCCGTCCAGGGGTGTATACAGTAATCTCAAGAGAGGGCTTAATTTGAGTGGTCTATTTCATTTCGTTTCGCCCGTGGGCTGCAAAACAGCATGATGAACAGGTACGGCAGGCTACTCAATCCTCCCTCGACAACTTTAAATATACAACAAAATGACCTTAGAAAAAGAAAAAGAAAAAGAAAAGAAAAAAGAATCGAGACGCTAGTGGCATCAATTTTCTTACCCAGCAGTCACTGAGTAGACAGAGAAGAGATGGAGTGACAGCAGGGAAGGGGGAGTGAAAAGAGTGGGAGTGAGGGAGAGGGAGAGAGAAAAAGCATGTGGAGTGAGAATAAGGAGACAGACAGGAAGAGCAGAAAGAGAGAACTGAGAGAGAGAGAGAGAGAGAGAGAGAGAGGGGGTGGAGATTGGCTGAACTATGACCAAGGAACTATGAACACTCACTTGGCCAGATGCTTCATAAGCAGCCCGAGGACTTGTCGATTCCTCTCCGGTAGTTTGTGGACCAGGCAGTGGACGGCTTGGATGCGAGACTCGGGACTACCGCCCTCTGTTCAAATGCAGAAACAGCCGTGTACTCATATTAAACTACAAGGAATTCTCTGTGCTCCTCGCATGGCAAGGAGCCAGCACAGCTCAGATGGTACACTGTACAGTAGGAAATTTAAATAGATGATGAAAAATTCTAGTCGCTGCTGATTTGAGTGAGGTTTCGAGGTAAAGAGCCCCATGTTACTTCAAAAAGGCCTAAAAGTATTCATCGGAAGTCTGGGAATGTTTTAAAATGAGCAAAAGTTGGTGGACCTTTAAGCGTGCAACAATCAGAGGCTATCCCTCTCAAGTGTATGGGATTAAGCATTAGAGGAAAATACATCCCAGTTCAAATAAATGAAGAAGAGGTGTGATGGTGATATACGGTCTGAAGCCTCCCAGAATTTGGCAGCAGGGACCACTATGCTGGCGGAGAAGATAGCTTTACGTTACTGTCGCTACCGTATAAAGGGTTGTGTTAAAACCCCCAAGATCATCTCTTAAACACTTCCTCACACATGGGCATCTGACCGCCCACACGCTAACACACACAGGCACACAAAATATCATTACTATGGGAACGACAAGGATTTAAACATGGCAAAAGCTTCTTATGGATGCTGTCATCCATCAAAAAAAATATTCATTGCTAATCCATTTTCCCCCCCTCGTTATGAGGGCATTGCGAGCGCCTGATAAAAATGTCAACCTGATCCAATTATAGCACTTGTTGTAATAAGATTCAAGTTTGGCTTGATTTAAAACATTTCATACAGAAATTATGTTATGTGGGCAGAAAAAAAACCCTATTTTTTCCCTTCTTTTTTTTTCCTCTTCAAGGTCACTGGATGATTTTGATCCAGGATCTTTAATGGCTTTTTTGGCCACAAATTTAGTCCCATGTTAAACAGGTAGCGATTATATGGAGATTGGAATAAGCTCATCTACAATGAAAAGACAAATGCAACTAAGCCAAAGGGAGCTGAAAGCCTCTTTGGTAGGGTTAGAATCAAGAACAAATGCACTGAGTGCTGCGAGTAACACACTGATACCATGCAGGAAGACATAAAAAGGCGATAATTAGCAATCAAGACACGCACACACCACACAATAGCTTTCAGACATAAGAAAGGTGACCACTGTTGCCCAACTTCCCTTAAAAACACAAAGTTTAAACAAAGTTAGTAAAATTTAATTTAAAAGTGTTTTTACTGTGTCTCACTTCACTGCTCCTTTTCAATAACCCCCCGAAGAAGAACTAAGTAATGAACTCAGCTGCTTCAATTGATAAAATGCCCATTTCGCACTGATACGGCACATACATACACTTCTGTTTGCGTATGGTCTGCGCTCAGATGAAGAGCTGGTACATGAGGCGGTAGAACTTACTTGCGGGGTTAATGAACTCTTTGTAAAGTTCATAGGTCATCAGCGGCTCAGGAAGGCTCCTTCGCAGAGATAGTGAGAGAAAGAGAGACGGGTTGGGGGCGGTGGGAGGGAGAAGGAGAGTTAAAGTGAGCAAGAGGGACAGAAATAGCTGGCACACTGTTTTATAGGGTCTGCACACAGCAATGATTAATGTGGCCAGGCCAGGAGATGGAATTAGACGGTGCACGCGTTGAGATAACCAAGTTCATCTGAAGGTACTTTCACACTGCAGCTGGATAGTGGCCAAAGCTACTTAGCCTCAGAGGAAACTGAGGAGATTGAGGCCGTTTTACTTCAGCAGGTCATGGAAGTAAAAGACAAATTAGAAAAACACTGTGTTGATTTAATATAGCACGTCAATAATGATAAGGGTACGGTAACTAAAATGCTGAGGTAAAACTTCTCAACTAAGTAATGTCCCAGAGTCCACAGTCCTCTCCATCAGTCTGCTTTTTGGAAGTGGTCAGTCCACACAAGTTTAACCCCCCTGACTAGGTTCATCATTTACATCCTAATTACATAGCAGTGACTGTTTGAAGACCTCCATAGTGACAAAATAAAACAAGTAATCGAAACCCCCCACCCCAAAAAACTGTATTAGTTTCTTTTTAGTATTTTTAATATGCATAAAAGAAAGCAGGCAAATTCCCAACTTTGAATGCAAATTTTCCTCCAATCAAGCAACAAGCAAAGCCAACTCAATTTGTTGCAACAGCATGTCGACAAAATCAGATTGGCATTTAAAATTATACCGCTTCATCTTCTTGCAGCCAAACTACATTTTTAATCTCTGAACTTCACCCACACTCGCTGCCAACCTGGAAGGAGTTATTGACTGTGGAACATGCATATCATGAGCATTATGAGTTCGCAAGGAGTTAATTATACAAAGGCACTCTGCATAATTAAATCTGTAGCCATTTTATAAAATAAAGCATCGACGCTGGATGCAGTGTTTCGCATTCAAGCAAGCGGAAAGGACCGCATTCATCAAAGGAGTTGTCGTGGGGTCAGAAATAGACTTGCTTGGATACACAACAGCACAGTTTGACGGTTTATAAGATGAAAAAATATAATTACCTACTAAGTGTCTTTCCCCCCAAATAAGAGTTCCTGCACTTTTAACAGTGCAGCTATTAACATCTAATGAAGACAAAAAGCTACTGTACTCTTGAGCTGCTGAGAAGGGATGGCGGTAAGCTCTATTTGTCATATTTCAAATTAACTAGACGAATTAATTAAAAGTTTGTTAATAGGTACAATTCAACCAGAGGGTTTAGGTGTAACGTCTAGAGCTGAAGTGACTGCAAAAACGATCAGAAGAATCAATTACCTTATTTAAACACTTGCTGTGCTGCAATGTTTTAGTATCAATGCTTGCCACTGCTTGGTGAAACAAATAACTCACAGGTGTGTGCGTGTCTTTCACATTAAAACATCACACTAATCCTTACCTCAGATAAAGCTTCAGTGCACTTGTTATTGTCTTAACATCCCAGTCTTCGCTGGCTGACAAATCCACTTCGTCGCTCTTCTCATCTATAAGAATCACAAACTTAGCATCACTGCAATTACTCACTGACTGAGGTATTCGCACCGAGGCGCCAATTAACTACCCTGTTCATATTATGCACAACAAATATGTGATTTAAATATGTAACTTGTAATTAGCCATATGAGGATAAAAAGCATTCCTGCTAGCCTTCGGGGGTCGCGTTTCGCCCCAGAGGATATGGAAGGAAGTTGCAGCATCTGTAGAGGGCTGCTGGCTTTATACTCATTACAAGTTTAATTAATCCCTTACTACTTCACTGACTCCACAGGGACTCCAAGGGTGTGTTGTGCTAAAAATTTGCGGGGGTGGGGTAGGGGGGGCTTTAGTCACACCGTAAGTAGCCTCTGATGAACTACAGAGGAAGTGCAATGTGTCAGTGAAGTGTTTGGAGTCTGACACATGTACAGCTTAGGGTCTTAGCCACCACACAGACTTTAGCTTCACGGGTGTTAGGTGGTCTGTTAATAGGAAATCTATTTATTTTTTATTTGATCTATCCACTGCAGGCAAGAGGACCGCGTGTCTCTCCGTCTGCATAATCCACAAAATTGCCTGTCCAGTGTCAACTTCTGAAAGCAAACGTTTTTAGGAAGCATGTGTAGCCAGGTGTGTCTCCACATGTGAGACTGATGGAGTTTGCAGAGGTGCTGTAGTCTTGCAAAAATAGGCCTGATTTGGCCAGGTCGGTGTATGCACAAACACAGCTGGAGCAGTTGGAGGAGCACTGATTGCAAAACTGTTAACGACACAGCATCCACCGAGGTTCAGTTCTATATTATTTTCTTTTGTGTTAGCAACAATAAAGACTAGGCAACCAACACCGTGCTGTGTGGGGACTTAATAAGCACAGCGGCAGAGTGACATAACACCAGCAGAAAAACTTTTCATCATACAGAAAATATTAAGGGAAAAGTTTGTTAAATAAAAATAGGGAATTTACTCTCCTTCACAGACTTTCAAATTTGAGGATAAGCTGATTGAAAGCCTGGACCAGTATGAAAGTAAGCCTATTCATGAGATAAGTAAATACCACATCCTGACCCAAACCCGAACAAACAAGTGATGTGCAGAAATTGGAAATGAAGCGATGGTTGTGTGACGTATGTGCTGTAAGGATGTTCAGTGGCACTAAAATGTAAAGACTAAGATGTGCAACTGATGCCAACTGGAAAAAGAAGAAGGGAGGAAGCAAATGCTGTTCAGGATTAAGATGAAGCAATAACCACATGCAGCACCTGTCAGTGTTTGCTTCCTGCGTGACTGATTTGTTCTTTTATTCTCAAACAACCAGCTCACAGGTAATTCTTCCAAAGTGCCTGACCCACGGTTAACCACTTACCCGTAACTCTATCTCGGTCGATTTAGGAAACGCCTATATCCCCACCTTTCCTGAAAGGTCTCAAACCAAAAATAGCCGACATTCAAACTAGAAAGGAGTCGTAGGTTCTAATTTTTCTCTCAAGATTTTTTATTTATTAATTTTCTATAAATTATACAGTCAAAAAAGCACCTCATTAGCCTCACATTTTAATAACAGTTCCTTCTTACTTCAGGTGTGGCTATTCAGAGCAGCTATTGCATGAGTTTATTTTTGCGCTGTGCACACTCACACTGCAAAATGTCCTAACCGCCTGCTTGGTTCATCTAGTGACAGATGACTCTTCTTTATCATCTGGGTTTTTTGGGCACAAAGAGGCCACAGTGTGCCTGGCGGGTCAGTATTCAAGCGATACCATTTAACCAATGAAGGTGCACCATAAACCTTTTCAGCATCTGTTCAGGTCTAATTCAGTGTTTAACAACTTTTGCTTTGAACTGTAAAATATTAAATGCCTGACTTTGCTCCTTGGAAATGTGCATTCATTAAATTTACCTATGCAATTACATCTGGAGGACCAAAACCTCCAATTCAGCAGCTATTATGACCATATCGCCACCGACACCACACGCTGCCCTGCCCGTTCTGTCTGAACCAAAGACAGGTCAGAGAGGGAACGGAGCTCACTTTTACAGGTTTCTTCCTGTTATATTGTTGTCTGTCATTCAATAGGTGCCGCTCTCTTTGTTTGTACTGTAATATGATGGGAGAATTTTGTATCACTTTGTCCTCTCAGATTGGACCGTGGCCATGTTGGTGGGTGAGAGATGAAAAGGAGGAGGTGTGGGAGGATCCAAAGTCTTTCTTCAGGGTTTAAAGCTTGTTTCACCCACTCACTGTGAACTGTTGTATGCAAGAAATGTTTGTGAATGTGTCTGTGGAGAAGTAACACACAACTGCTGTCATACATATTAGTCATTTCAGGGATAAAATACGAGTTGCGTTTAGATAGAAATATTTAGGCACAGATGAAATCGTTATTTTTCTTTAAATGAGTAACATGCAGATTCTCAAGACTAGTGATGGAAGTTTTCTATACTTTAAGGCTTTAAAGAAACTTCCGCAGCAGAGCATTAATGGAGTCTACCGCATGAGTCGGCGGGCTGGAAGGCTGCAAGGTTTTGGAGAGGAAGCTGAGACAGGCTGGCGGCTGCCTGAGTTTGTTGTCATTCTGAACACAGAGCTGAAAGTGAGCTGGTGTCTGCTGGAGACAGCAGGAAACCAGAGAGCAGACAGGGAGCAATGGAAAGGACAGAGGACAAGTTCTATAGAAAGGGAGTTGAGTGAAAGGGATTCGAGACGAGTAAGAGGCATAAAGGTAATTGAGAAAGGCAACTGACAGACTAAGCCATCTGCGAGCACACAAGAGGCCATCCTACTGGCGTGTTAATGAAGGAAAAGCCAAAAAGCAGAAGAATGTGAATAGGATGGACCTCGTCGGGTTGTCTCGGGGGGCTTAAAACTGAATGAAAGCGAAGCCAAGCTACACACTGGCACTTGTTGCACTTCAGAGAGCCACGGGTACCAGTGGGCTGAGTCACGGGATGATTTCCAATCGCTATCTTTTTAATATCACCCCTAACAGACACATCCATTACATCAGCATATCCAACTAACGACCTAATTTCACAGAGATAGTGCAGTGGCATTAAATTAAAATTTGTAACTTTATTCAGTCCTTACTTAAAAAACTAAAAATCTATGTGAGAAAAAGAGGAGAATGAAGAACTTACCAATCATTAATGAGAGGAGCTTCTGGACCTTGGAGCTTACCCCCACAACCCTATACAGGCCTTGGTCATTAATGCCTAGAATATAACAATAATAAAAATAATACACCTCTACTTGCATATTACTTACAATACAATAATGACAATTATTGAAATAATATATATTTGCGGCATGATTTCAATTTTAACCAAGTTCATATGAGGTAACAACATGCATAAAAATATCAGTTTTTAGAGGATCTTTTTATGAAGAGGTGGCCAGATAAGAGCAAATAAGTAAGAATAATGCCGTGAAAAGGCAGTTGCATGTCTTCAGTACAAGGTGCCTGCAGGTGATGCTGGGAAGTCTTTTGCCTTTTCAATACTGGAGAAAGTCTGCCCCCTTGTGTACAGATAAAGGCTTGCATGCATGTTACCTACTATTATTACTATCCACCAACACTGAAATTTATCCTGCAATTTTCCATATGCTAGCATCAGATATTTACATTATTAAATATATTTATAGCTCACCTCTTTTCTCTATTGCACTGATGGAATTCTTCACAAAACTGAAACCAACATCATCCAACTGAGCGTCGACTACAGGTAGGGAAAAAATGAAGACGAAAAAAAACACAGATGCTTATAAAATTGTGATATCACATAATTTTGCAGATTCAGTGTCTGGCACAGCTGGATCCTTACTTCCACGTTCTTTAGAATAAGTCCTCATAAGATAATGTCCAACCTGTTAAAGTAACAACCACAAAACACAGACGTAGAGTTTTAAAGTTTACGCAGTATATTTTTGGAGAGTTCTAAGTATATGTTGGTGTAAAGCTACATGTATTTGCTCTCTACAAGATGGCAGTTAAAGAGAATGTATTAAAACTCCATGAGTGAGTGGTAGATGATGACATTGTGAAAGCTGACTCACAGGCTCCTTCCCACCCATGGCTTGCATCCAAAACTTGTGGTCATCCTCAGACAGAGCCTGCACTGTAAGCACCGTTCCTGGCCTGGGAGAGAGCCATACCACACTTGTATTAGGAAAAGCATCAGAGGTACAGTTTTGTAAAATATTAAGGAGTGCATGAAATGTATTTGCAAAAAAGCAAAAAAAAGAAAACACCCTCTGCCACATACATCTTAGATTGGTTGTACTACAAAGAAGAGGCCAGCTGGTTTTATGACACTTCCAATCATGTAGGAACAAATGGGTATCAAGTTACTCATTACAGGGCGAACAGATGTGTGCACTGACATTTCCATTCTAAATTTAAGGTATTGCTCTTCTATTAATACTACAGAAAAGGGGCGGCGCAGGGTTAAGTTCTGTGACAAAACGGGATATATATTACAGCATGATGCGTGAGGGCGGTCCTCCAAAACAACCCCTGCAGCGCTGCCCTCGGCTATCCAAAACATAGCAACAAACACCAAGTGTGTGTGTGGAGCTAAGCCCTTTAGCAAAACAGATCTATGTGCTCTGTGGACAGTCTGTGGACAACATTTACATTGTGTTCAAGCAAAAGTCATCCAGCAGGTAATAACAAATAATGTGTCACCAGTAATCCAAATTAAACGACAAGTTTAATACAAGCAAGGTTTTATCACAGTGTGTTTGAGAACATAGTAAGTGACAATATACCGATCTGTTATATCGAGGTCTAAACAGAACCTCCGGTCCAACACATCTGTCGTTTTCCGGACACAGGATTTGAGTGTGATGGACTCCGTTTCCCCCTGGAACAAAAAAACATCAAAATATGGTTATTTAAAAAAGAAAATACATGACAAAATGAACGTTGTAATGGAAAGTAAAAGACTGAACAGAGTCTGATTTTTTTTAGTGTGCGGCACTGCCACTCACAATCTTTCCTCCTGATCGGTGGTCAAAAGTCACCATGTGCAGGATCTTTTGCTCTTTAACAAATGTGCAGTAACGCTTGACCCAACTTGAACCAAAAGGAGGTGGCCCTAGATGAAGCACAAATATTAACGACATACTCTAAACATTTCACGTGGTTTAAGTCATAACAAGCCCTTTTGGGCTCTGCTGCAACACGCTAACACACAATTTACAGTTCCAGTGTGGTTCTCCCCGGATAACGCTCGCAGTTTTCGCAATGTCCTTTTTAGCGAGCGAGTGACAAAAAAATACGCAGCAGTAAGCAAATTCAGTTAAAACATCTACAGTGTCAGCAACAAGTGCAACTTCAGGAACTTATCCTGTGTTTCAACTTTCTGTGTCACGCTACAGCAACGTTGCTGCTGATTTACATAAAAATATCTGATATATCACCTCCATTTACACATTTGATTAGCAGCAGCAACAACAAAAAATCCCCTTCTAATAAGGAAGAGTTATATTTGTGCTTTTTTTTGTCACTCAGAGTTTGGCTGCCTGCTGCGCTTTATAAACTAAAATGTTATACACATACTATTACATGATCACAAACAAGTCTTACGTTTTTCTTGTACATAGAGGTAGCCTTCAAAACTGATGGGACTCGTCTGTCTGTACTCTTGCGGTGCCTCTCTGATCCTCTTCATCAGCTCGTTTACTTCCGACCGAGTGCCCTCAAATCGATTCCTTGTCTAAGAGGGAGAGGAAGCAAGCGCACACTCCAGGAAATCACTTTCGGCCGCTTGGTAGGGATGACCTCCAGAGGCCTCATTAAGTCACAGCTTGTATTTTTATGGCTTCCATAAAACACCTTCAACTTTTTGAAATTAGCTGCTAATTTACAGTATATAAATGTAAAGGTAAGAATGAAACGGTGTCATGCAGGATAGGAGAAATCGAAACAACAGAGGTGTGACCAGAAGCGGTAAAGAAAAAAAAACATATTTTTCTCAGGAGTTGATGGCCAAATGAAGATAAACAGACAAGTAAATACTAGATCGGAAAATGAAGAGGCCTTTTTCCCTATTTAGTGACCAAAAAGTTAAAATTTAATCTTCTGTTTTCTACACTTAAGACCTTTCTTCTGTTCCTCTCAAAGTGCAAGGGAAATGACATATATAAACATTTGCTATCATGATAACAATTAGGCAAAAAAAAAAGTATTATTTACATTTTGAATATTAATCTGCAGCTCTGTTTTATAATGGTCAAAGTCCTTGGCGAGCTCAAAGCCCTGGTGATAAAAGGTGAAGACTGTCTGAAAGAAGGCCAGCATCTACAAGGAAAACACATGAGACGAAGAAAAAGACCAGAGATAAAAGGTCAGCAAGTAAAAGAGAAACTTGCAAACTATATCCACATAATGACAGGATATGATGGAATTGTTTAGTATCTTTCAGTCAGGCAAAAACCTGTGACGGTGTAGGACTTCACATATTGCCTTTTGGTTTTAATACGGAAGGGGTTTGGGATTTCTGTCATAAAGCAATACCGTTATGACCATCTGTATCTGACATTAAGTGTCGGGATCTGTAATTTTCCATAGTGGTTTTAGCTGTAACAAATCTACTAATCTGAGTCAGTATTAAAGTTACAGATTTCGTTTCCCAAGAAAGTAGATCCTTACTTACAAATATTTTCACATCTATTAGAAGGTAGGCACACTTTGTACAATTTCAAAGACACCAACTCGATTTAGTGTGGGGTTGTTGAAAATGCACCCCTAGAAATAGAGCTCTACCTTTTAATCCATCATTTCTTACTGTAAATCAGGCTAATCCCATGTACTGTATACACTAGCACATCGGTTTTGTTTTAAGACATTCATTGTGGTATGAATGAAACACCGCGCCAGTGCTTTTATGCCATTTTAGGTCAGTTACTCACCGGTTCCACACACTCAAACTTCTTTCTCTCTTGGATCTCCTGCAGTTTGCACACGTAGTCCAGCGACTCCTCCTGAAAGTGCCTCCTCATGATTTCCACCTGCGTGTCTGCCTGGAGAGGTGGAGAACACACCCCATCATAATTATAGTTACAGGCAGAAGCGCGGAAGCAAAGAAGAAACATCACAATTTTAGTTTTTTTGTGCAATTTGGGACATTGAGGTCTACCTTGGTATGGCTTTAAATTGGTATAGAAGACATACTGAAGTTAGTAAATCAAAATCTGACACCAATGTTTAGCTAATTTGTACCACCCCCACCAAAAAAAACAGGTTTGCTGTGTGATCAACCTCCATTTTTTGTCTCTTCGGACAAAGAAAAGCCACACACGCTAAAACTTTGACAGGAAAGAGACGAAAACTGAAGGAAGTGCAGGGATCCGTCTTCAAGGACGGCAAAAGCAGTACAAGTCAAAGCGAACTTAAATGTCATTCAGACCATACAAAGACTGCACAGGACACCACGGCTTCCTTCCTTGTAGCTTAATGTGCAAACTGTTGATAAAGTGAGAAACACAATCTTTCTGCTATCTATCTATCTGGCCATTATCACTGCTTCTTGTGCTTTGCAAGCCAGAGCTAACCCCACTGACTGATGGTGAGAAAAGACACACCAGTATTCACATCTACGGAACAAGGGGCGACACTGAACTCTAACCTTGTATATATGGGTCCTACCAGTAGGGAATTTGAACACAGAAAAGATCTACTTATTTCATTTATGTGATTATTAGTATTTGAAAAATGCCCAGAAGTATCATAACCATCCAGGAACTACAAAGCAGCAAGGCTTGAATACTAGAAATACATTTTAAGTGCCATAGAGTATGCATATTTTCACACTAGAGCAAGTTTGTTTCAATATTGTCAAGTAAACATCCAGCTCTGATTACTACAGATACCAAAGTTCTCACTTGTAGTTCACACACCAGGTTTATATTTAGTATAAGCTGTTCACTGAGTTGTCCTAACAGCTGATGGAGTTCATGACCCTTGTAGCAAGGAATGAAATATGGGGTCTATTTATACAAGTCTGCTAAAAATCAGTATTGGTGCCACAGACTCTTGTCTTATAAGAGTCCCAAAGAATACAAAACCCCGCAGTCATGATGTTAACAGTTCTAACCACCCCCTGGTTGGTGGATCTAACGTACAGGCAAGCTTTACAGGGTTTCATCACAAAACACAAAAAAAACATTGTTTTGTAAAAGGTGGCTCAGTTCGTCGTAACTCAAAAAATGTCAGCTTGTGGTAGTGCAGCGGGGATTGATCCACAAACTGCAGCAGCCACGGTCAACCTCCGAGGTGCGGTACAAAAGAGCACACATTTCCTTTTCAAACAAGCCAGGAAAACTATTGCTGCAAGGCATGCCAGTGGAAACCCAAAGCAGTCGACCAGGTTTTGCAGCCTCATGGCACCGAAAGATAAAGCCAGAACCGGAATTCAGACACTAAACAAAACATCTGCTTGAATAATCTTACTGTCATAATAAATTCATATCATGTACGTCACACAGAGCGGTCAGGCAATGATAAAGATACCTCTTGCAGTTGTGGCTCTTTCTTCTTTGATGACATATTTAGAAGCTTTTCCAAAGAACTGTAGTATTTCTCTGTTTCCTTTTCATATCTCTTTCTTTCCGCCTTAACAAAATACAGGGGGAAAAAAGCAGTAAAATTAAAGGAGAAGAAATACTTCCTTATTTTTGGGAATTAAAGTTAGAAGCTGTATGTGTAGTAAAATCCATTAAACATTAACTACAGAAACTACAAATGCATTTTTTATAGTTATTAAGGGCATCAAGCCTACAAAACCCAGACTGTTTAAGGGAAATAGATTTTGGAATGAGAGGCCCTTACCCTTAATGCACCAAGCTGCTCTTTCCTGAACTTCTCCAGAGGTTTCATTAAGGTTTCTGTGATGTTCCTCATCTACAGAGAATAAATGCCTTCATTAGTGCTCATTTCAGTGACATGCTTCATTAATAAAACTTTTACTTACTTACTCACGACATTCAAATCTTTCCAGCCTTAACGAACGAGCGGCTCTCTGTAGTTACTTGCCACTACTCTTGCCACTTGTACCATGTTGCATAATCCATCCTTTCATTTTAATAATGCTGCCATGCTTTTCAGACATTTGCACATTGCAAAACAATGACAAGAACATGTGGAATTTTTATCCGTTACTGTCCTTCCTTGGTGATACATTATCTGGCCCATATTTACATACTTGAACTGCCACATGAAAAAACTGTGGACTACCACCTGGAGCATATTTGGCTTTGCACCAGTTGTTGTCTATTAGCATGCCAGCAAGGTAAACAGACAAAGTATAAGGCCACACTCGGCAGCTTCTCTGCTCAAAGTGAGTCAAGATCACATTGAACTGTAAGTGTAAACATTGAGACTTCATTCCCAGCTCATCCTCTGCCAATCCCCCCCCCCCCAAAAAAAACCCCAACCCAAAACATAAATAAGTATTTTAAAAAAAAAAAACTGTACTGCAATCATTCTCAGCCAAGATGGCTGTAACTTTATATAAACAGTATCAATAGAATCTTTGTGGAGATTTAAAGCTGAAGCTCCATTGTGGCTTCTTAAAAGTTAATAATATGTCAACATTTGAGCGGCTCAATGTTTCGTTTTTTACCTCTAAACACTACTAATTACTAAAAAAAAATCTTTTATCTTCCAGTAGTGCATTATTAAAGTTACTGTACGTAACTTCTTTACTACAGAGTTTCTTCTGTGCTGAGAACAAAGCATGTCTGTGCTTGTTTGGCCATAGTACTTTTCCTTACGCTGCATGGTGATGTCATCGCACTTTACCCTCAGGATTCCTGCGCTAAGTCTGTGCTTACGGTCTGAGCATGATGCTGTAATAGGCATCTCCGCAAGCTACTGATGATGGGTTCACTCCCTAACCCCAGACAGGCATTACAAGAAGATGGCTGGAAAGTCTGCATCTGCATTGTAAGAATGCTTCAAACGAGTAGCACTGACAAGTGTATCAATTCACTATTAGAGGGGATTTTTGTGGTTATACTGGCAGCTATAATATTGCTACCTGTGGCAGAATAGCTTTATGGCAATATACGGTCATAAACACTTGCATTGCTGTGGATCTTGTTGGTGGTAGCGCTTTATTTGATCTGGCTTGGTACTTAAAGTTTGGGTGTGTGATGAGTGTTGTGCGTAATGTAGTTATGGACTCTTGCTCTCTCTGTAGCCACGCCCAGGCAGGGCATGTGACAGTGACCCTTAGACAGCCAGAAGGGGAGGATATGTGCAAAAGCTAACAATATTGCAACAACAGCTGGAGAATATGCTACAAGTATCCTACATTATGAGCACTAGACACACACACACACACACACAAAAGGTACAGCGGGCTTTCAATTAGGTTCTAACTGGTCACTCTCACCATCAGCTCTCTTTGGTCTTCAAGGTTTTTGAGGAATGCTGAGAACTCTTGCAAAGACTCATCTGAAGAAAAAACAAAAAATAACACATACAGGGTTAAAGATATTAGAATTATCAGTTGCACTCGTCTAACAGCACGTGTTTGCAAAAAACATATGGTTAGCGCCTTCAATATGAGGTGGTTAGCCCACACTTACCGATACATTTCTCATCATAGGTCTTTGCATCGCCAATGTACTCAAACTGAAACTCTCCCAGGCACTGGGCGAACTTGCGCTGTGCCATCCCAAGCTCTACAAGGAAATGTCAAAAACATAGTAAACATCAGACTCATTGTATTAAAAAAGGGTTTTACAATATAAATAATGACACACTACAACTGTGTGTCATCCTGGGGACCACCTGTGGAAAAGTGACATAATAAAGATAGTCTTGAAAAGTAGGTCTGCTGCACTTAGCTGTTAACCACAGTGCAAACATCCTGTCTGTCTACATCCTGTTGCACATCAAACCCTCGTGCACCAGCAGTGCAGGTACCACTGCTTCACATTTGCCACAAAACAGGGCAAACTATATTTAGCAAGTCACACAATACACGAGTAAATGCTTTGATGCTAACAATGTGATGCTTAAAAGCTAGACAGCTGTGAAGCCAATACATCTAAGTTAATATACACAAATTACAATATCGATTTCCCAAATGCAAATGCAATGCAGTATTATATTTTCCTTTCCTAAATAATAACATTACATGAACCCCAAAACTTGGAAAATAAAAGAAAATGTTTGGTTTCTACAGCACTTTGGCAATGCTTTTTACTGCCTGACTAAAGGCAGGTGACTAGATTACTGGAAACTTAAAATCATCACACATACAACAGGACAGCACAGCAGTTAACACTACTGCATCACAGTGAGTGCAAAGGAAGCAAAATTGGCCAGAGGTGTGAATGTCAGCATGAATGGCTGTCTTTCTTCCTGTGTTAGCACTGCAATGGACTGGCAACTGTTCCAGGGTGTAACTTGCTTCTCACCCTAAGACAGCTGGGATGGGTTCCAATATGGATGGAAGGACGGATGGATAGTAATCTGCCCCAACATACCCTAAAAATATCATGAAGCATTCCTCAATCAACACCAAACTTAAGCAATGCAGATAACTAACTAACTTAAAAAAAAAAAAAAAAAAGTCTTTCACACTGTTATTTGGATTCCTGGCTTGCTTGTGGCTCAGCTATTAAAAGGTTAACACTTTCAACCTCGACTTTATTCATTTTGTTTATCTGAAACCCACTGAAACCCACTCCTGGTCACTCTACACTCTAAAGGTGTTAAATCTGTACCGTCCCAAAGCACACGAGGCACATTAAAACCAAAACACCTGTGGTTTGGGTCCTCTGGCCAGTTGACGTAGAACTAGGGGAAGTTTAAAGGATCTTCCAGACAATGGGGCAGCTTCTTATTATAGTATTGTTTTTGCTCTAAGTAGTTTTTCATATAGCATTTGGAGGAAATGCTTTATTTTCTTGTGAGTGAGATCATTGTTGATGTAAGAGAAAAGTATAAACAGAAAGTGAAGCATCTAAAATGCATACAAGCAGAACTCGCACAATCACTTTATTCCTCTTTAGCAAAAATACTATAACAAAAATAAATAAAACACAAGGATTCATGACTTGTTTGTGGCAAATGACAGATCATTGCCTGACCCCTGAACAACTGCAAGACACAGAACAGAATAACGTCACACCGTGAAGATGGAAGTGAGCTTTAGGCTACGTTCACACTGCAAGCGAAAGCGCATCAAATCCAATTTTTCTGACCCTATGCGACCTATATCCGATCATGGTATGACATCCAATATTTTCAAATCCGATCTGGGTCACTTTCATATGTGGTACTGAATCCGATGTTTTAAAAAGCGACTGCTGCTTGAATGGTCAAGTTGTATTAAATCCGTCTTTTGCGTCACTGACACAAGACAGACTCCAATTATCAGCTCCGGAGAAGACATCGCGAACGCTTCCTGGCCATCCAGGAACAGTTAGTGAAACTGTTGGGAAGACAACGTTGGAGAAACGTGAGCATGTTATTTGTACTGTATAATCTGCAGATTCTGACAGAAATCTGCAACTATCCTTTGAAGCACCGCTCCTCTCTAAAACAGCAATAAGGATAATTATTAGGTTATTTACATTATTATGTAAATAAAATAACTTAAAGCAAAAATTGGGAAACGTAAAGTCCGAAGTCTTTATATTAAGGACCATCAGTCAAACAATATTGTTTGCTCTGGGTCTAAACAGAGCGCGTTGTGTGTGACGTCTTCTTTTGCGCATGCCGGCCGCTTTGAGGGTTCACACTAGAGCGCCTTTGCTGTCGCATTTTATTTGTAGTGTGAACAAGCAGAAAAAAAAAAATTGGATTTGATCAAAAAAATCGGAATTGAGCATTAAGACCTGCAGTGTGAACGTAGCCATAGTCATCCTTTTCTGTGTGTGTGTGTGTGTGTGTGTGTGTGTGTGTGTGTGTGTGTGTGTGTGTGTGTATATATATATATAAATAAATAACTAAATATGACACTGCACAAGTTTCATTAAGAGATGCAAACACAGAACAGCGGTGGAGTATCAAAGACTGACTCCTCTTTAAAGGTTGTAGTCTTTTATTTTATAAAGCCAGAAGAAACGAGAGGGAGGTGTGCTCGGGTTTACTTATTATTGTCAGGAAAGAATCACTCAAGTTTCTGTAAGACTTTATTAGGCAAATATTCATAGAAGACAAATGATGTCATAAACTTGCTTGAATCACACCAAATACGTGTGCAGCTCATTTTCCTAATGTGCTTGTACTATAATGAAAACTTCATTCCATCTCAGAGGTGACTTCTACCTGAAGGAAACATCCTGGTGAATGATGTGTGTGAGTGCTCTAAATATGGGTTAAAAAGGTATTATTTTCAAAATAAAGGTATAGCAAATATAAGCCTACCAGGTCATTATTTTGGAAGCAAACACATCTAAGCTATAGGTTGGAATTATTATTTTTTTTGAAGGGACCGTAAATCTAGCAGGAATCTAAACCACACCGACAGCAAGAATTCAGCTCAGGGTGCACAAGTCCATAAAAGGTGACTCTGGTCAGCCTGCTCTCATCCTTAATTGGCAGAACATGGAATGACTACAAGCAACAGAGGCAGGACATATTTGCTACCCACTTTGATAATAGATAATTTATTGAGTAATACACAGTACTGCATAACATCCAATGCTTCTCTTTGGATCTGGCCTCTTGCAAACCTTACGCAATATCTTCTGATGTGAAGACCTGGCACTGCTGTTTAGGCAGTCCACAAGAGGGACAGTGAGATTCAGCTGCGTAACCAATTAGTCAGAAATTTCCCCCAAATGTTATTGAGGAGTCCTTCACCGTAATGCTGTACATGCTAAATGTGGTTTGTCGCTGGCGTGCTGAAATCAGCAAGGCCTTCGGTGAAAACGGCATCTTCTGAACTGCAGCATATATAGATGTAAAAAAATTATTTCATATACATCATTACAGGGCCCAGACGAGGTTTCCAGATCTTTCGTGTAAAGATTTTGATTTCACATGGTGGAGTTTTAACTTTTTGCAGATGGTTGGAAGATGGGCTCAACATGAAATACATTTCTGGAAAGTTTAGCTAACTAGTGAGCAACTTGGAGTGAGGATACCAATTGATACTGCACCATGGTCACGTACTCTGCAGACAGTCCTGAAAGTACTGAAAGCAGAAACTGTTCACAGATTCTTAGTTACAAGCATCTTTTCTGCCTCATTTTTTTGTGAAAAGGTTCTCATATTAATGTGTAACAGTAAATCTAAATGCTGATATAGCTGTGAGATTTCCCAGATTTATTGAAACTTCTTAATAATGAGATACACTTACTATTACTTAATTATTGTAATTTCTAAACTGTTTAACTAGAATGAAGCAGTCCCTCAACACAGACAGACCACACACTGTTTTACTGCAACATCAAGTTGATGCAACTTGGTCGAAGGCTGCATCGTAGGGTTACAAGGCATCTAAATCACACCTAAGTGGATGGGTGTTTCCTCCGTTTTCTAATGTCTTTAAGTTACCTTTTTTGAATGGAGCCGTTACCAGAAAACAGTTTTATCAGCATGGAAACCCTTTAAAAGATAACCCCCGTCCCAATGCATTTATCCCCATTTGATGACTTCAACAACAAAATGTTTGCAATATGAGTCTCTGTGCTTTGAAGCAGCCGTGCTGAAGGAACACAAGGAAAACAAGTATTGTCAATTAAATCCTTGCTCAAACCCTTTTATAGAAAAGCAGTTTTATTGGAGTGCATTGCTTCTTTTCATTCCCAAAATCGTGCTTTTTATTGCTCACTCCCCTCTGTTGCTTTTGGCATTGCTTGTTTGTTATCAATGTTCGACATAACTTTCCCCCCCCATATTTTAAACTTACAAAGGTTGTGTTGGTCAGTGTTATATGCTGTCATCTTTAGTAGTAGTATTAGAATGTAAGGTTTTAAAAGCATAGCTCATTACCAACCTTTCATTAAGGTATTTACTTGATAGGTAATGAGTGACCTTTATGGAGTCCTTGGTCACCTGCAGGTCTCAACTTATCCAGAAACATATAAATGTAGAGTGGAAAGTTCAACTCCTGAATGACACAGTAAAAAGATGTTGTGACAACATTACACTGAACACTGCCACACCTTAAAGCCTCAACACACTACATTGTACCTGACGTAAGGTCAGAATCACATGTCACTAAAAATCAATGCCATTCAAGCAATTACTGTTATACTGCAGAGTGTAATGTGCATGCTGTAATACACAGGTTTTCTACAGAGGTTTTTTTTTGTGCAGTGTTTAAGTTGCCTCAGGGATTCAGTTCTCAGTGAGGCACTCGCTTCTCTGCTTTTCCAGATTTAAACAACTTACACAATAAGTTTCCAACAGAGTTGGGATGATTCATAATTATAAAACTAATGATGTATAAAATACAAACAAAAACAGGGTGCAGTAATTTTAAAAAAATTACAAAGACTTTCTGTTCTTGAAAGTTACATTTAGCCTAAAAACAGACAAAAAGCTGTTTGCAACTTTTTATGCCCACAACGTTTTTAGAAATTCAATATCTTCTTGTTGTACTATTTACAAGGTGAAAGGTGAAATTACAGAGTTCCAGATGTTTTGGGTTGTAGCCTGTTTTTGTACTGTTAGAGAAAGATCATGGGTGGGAAAAGACACAGGTCTTTTGTATTTTACT